CAATTCTCGTTATGCCCGTGATAAATACAATTTCATATTTCGCGTTATGCCCGTGATACATACAATTTCATATTTCGCGTTATGCCGCAATACAAACTCAAATTTCATATTCGTGTTATACCCGCAATAGATTCAAGTTTAACTCGCGCTGAAGCTCTACGACACTCAAGCTCGTGGTCAGCTCCTCATAAGCACAAGTTCGCATTATGCCCGCGATCCAATCAAGCATCAAGCTTTCGCATATATCCATTGTAGACATATTCATATAAGTAAGCTGATTTTTTAGCTACACAGCGCACATTATAATCGATTCTGCAAAACCGACAAGGTACAAGCTCAAATTCTTACAACCAAAATATAATTCACTATACACGGCAACAAGCCGCTGACAAGCAATATGTCAACGAGAGCATCAAGATAGACAGAATCAAAGGAGATGTTTAATCTCCGGACAAGAAATAAGGCATTGAAGGGAACCAGGAGTTAAACCTAGTCATACCTAACTCAAAACAAGTGGGACCTCAATAAAATCATAGGCATATAAGACAAACAAAGAGGTACCATACCAGTTGACAACAGTCGACAACACCTGCAGAAGAATATTTCAGGACTAAGGAGAACATGAAACTTCTTCATTCACTCAACTAAGCATAATTGGTCAAGGGAAGATTTAATGAAATTCTTTAGATAAAGGCAACCCACCCTTGTCAGATATTTTATTGCCTTACTAAACGGAGTCTCTCATTCTCAAATATATAGAATTATTTGTATTCATGATTTCATTAATTTTAGATTTCCTTTTTGCATGATTATTTTAATTATCCTATATTGACAGTTAATTACTGTACGAACAGCTTCTGTAACAACAATGCTTAAAATAATTATAAATATTACTTAATTGTACATTAATAGCAACTAAAAAGTCATAAATAGTATTTTAGTATTGCAGAAAAAAACATATATGCATACAGTACAATATATTGATACGTGGTGACAGATAATCAGTTGATCTAATACAAAATTGTACTTAATCATAATAATATATATATATATATATATATATATATAATTACTTTTTATTTTTAAATATTTTTGTTATATACAATACTTTATTTGACCAAAATTGTATTGTTTTACATTTTACTAAATTATTAATTAATATTTATAATTATAATTACTTATATTGTTTTTATATTCATTTAAATCACACAACAATATACTAATTTAACATTTTAATTATTTATGTATAAAAACGGTTTATAAAGAAAAGTTTATTCAATTTCCAAAAGAACGTTAAATTATGTTTTGTTAAATATATATAAAAATGGAACTTATTGCTAATCAGTTAAATTCTCTATATTTATAAAAATAAGTTTAATTTAATCCATCCATGAAATATTTTAGTATATACATTACAGAATTATCTTCAATTGTTGGAATTTAAAATATTTAAAAACCTGTTATAATCGAACATATATATTTATTTACTTGGATTAAGAAATATTGAACTATGCATTGTTACCTATCTAACATAGATTTATAAGTTGTGTATCACTTGCAAATGAATTAATAATGTTACTTACCCGTTTTTTTCTTTCATGTGTACAGTCAATTCTCCGAACCCAAATTTCTTCAGTTGAATCATAATCGAGAGTACTCGAACTACTCGCTTCACTTTTCATTTCAACAAGACTTGAGTCAATAAATCTTGTGTACCGTTAGATTTTTATTTTTATTTTATTTACTAGCGCTTTATTAGTTTAAGTTTGGTTAACGGATTTTGATAATGTGGCGTCACTATTGTATTGTTAGATTGCTTATGTTTGAGTATTACATACGTGTATCGCTACAGTAAGTGATGACTGTAGAGAGAAGATTGAAGATTGAATAGTGAGCCCGTCGTGTGACTGCGTAATTGTTACTAGACTAGACTGAGAATGAGCGCTGCGCGGCAAGTGCAGCCCTTAAATATTCTATTATAATATAATATATATTAATATAATATAATATAATAATAATATAATATTATTATAATATATATAATATTAATATAATATTATAAAGTGTCTGTTGCTATGCCGATATTTGTCGTGACGTCAATAGGGCATAGCCTTGGAAGGTTCATTGGCATTATTTTTCGGAATTATAATCGTATATTCGAGCTTACGGCGTAGAAACATTTTTTGAGTACGCTCGCTAGTGTTTATAAACAACTGTCCGGGAGCTTATACCTCTCCCACTTTTGTATTCCGCTTCTTAAACTACTTCAATCCGTAGTAATTATAAATATAATTTTTTATTCTCAATATTCATTGAAAGTCTTACTTAAATAGACTCTAAGTCCCTCTGGCCTTCACTCAATTTTGAGCCTTTCAAATCGGACGCTACACTCTAATGTGTATAAATAATGACTAAATGTAAATCAAGAATATTTCACACTTTCTTTATAAGTTTAACAAATTGTTTTATATTCTACATGATATTGTTTAATATAAAAATTGTATTACTTACATCATAGAAAAATAATATCAGTTTCTTTTCTTTAATTTTGAAATAGAAATCAAAATATTAATCATATAAAAAATTATATCAAACACTAATAATAGCTAAATAAATTTGAATTATTATATTTCGTTCTAAAAATTTTCTTATTTCAAATATAGTATAGAAAATTAATGATTTAAAACAATAATACAAAATATTATTAATTAAGTTTGTACAAAATGTATTGGCCGTTCCGGCTTGTTTTACCAAGACCGGTTTGAAGGATACAAATTGATGCCGTTGACAACTCAGAGATCACGGGTGTTATGTAATAGCGATGAAAGGTCACAAGTGGAAGGGATATTATAATAATTCAGTATAAATATGTCTGGTGTACATGCTGTTTATTCTGTTATTTATCCGATCACAGGACGTTGATTAATATTACTATTATCAATTATTGAAAAACTCTTGTGGTGGATTAATGAGTTTGTTATGGCAAACTTACACTCATCTGATGTAGCGTGATAGTTCAAATATGAGCGCAGAATGGTGCGAACTTGGTTTCGTTGACACTCGCGCTGTTCGTGTGAGCGTGTGCATAGTTGATGTTATAGTTGTAATGTAGAGCGACACATGTAACTGTTATTACTTGAGAATATACTCAGATAATAGCAGGCTTACCTTAGTCCTGATATTGGCGTACTGCAATAGTTATTCAGTTGGAAGTAAGAGTTTGAAAGGCTTTTACCTTGTGATGGATACTGCTACGTGTTGTGGCTACTATGAGCATTGAATGGCACGCTGTGTAGATTCATAAGCGTCAGACTTTGAACTAATGTGAGGGTAGGCCGGCAAGACTCGCATCAGCTGGCGCGAACTTGACGACGTATTTGGAAATATTCCGCACTGATGAGAGCCTCAATTTCTTATGATGCTTGTCGATGACTGAAACTCTGAATCTTAAATGTAAGTTAATTATTGTCGTAGTGATACTACTTGCGAAGACTACTAGTAAACTCAATAGAGGGATTTTCCGCTTCTTGATGAGGACCTCAACTGGTACTTGTCTTCAAGCTCCAATAAGGAAATACGTCTCCTGTCCTTCTCCCAGTGTTTGAATATTGAAAATGTGCCCCTTAAAGACATTTGCTGGTCATGAACTTCACTTGAATCCCTTCCCTTATTTTCTGTACAATCAAAGTGTTCCTCACTTACACAGTGAGGGCAGCGCCTCTTGTGGCTTCATAGTTAATTAAAGACGTACTCATCTCTTGATCTTCATGGCAAGAAGAATTGTTTGGTAAACATTAGCTAACGGACTCAACGAATGCTTCTAACCGAAAAACTCGAACATACGACTATAATTCCGAGAAATAATAACAAATGACCCCGACAAAGCTATGCCCTATTGCCGTCACGACAAATAGCGGCATAGTAACAACCACCGATGCGCTATCGGCGCATCCAGTTCGTACGAGAATGTGAAAGGAGCTGCACGTGTCGCGGTTGCCCCGCTAGTACCAATCATGCACTCTGCTCACCACGCGGTTACTGCTACCACCTCACGCAGTTCCCGCCACCACGTGCAAGCAACGCCGACGCTCGTTCTTGCATATTACCTTACACCGCGGTTTACGCCCGCATGTAAGTAACGCCGACGCTAGTTCTTACCTTTACCTCTACACCGCGGGTTGTGCTCGCATCGACTATACGAACGTGTACCAATATCGCCACTACCTTGGAGCTCACGGACACAAGCTATGACGTCACACGGACGTTCTCCTACCACTTCGTACACTACAGCTCACCCCTCGCCGGCTGCCAAGACGGCACTAACTTGCTTCCCCTACCACCACGAGTTCCCCACTACGACTACTCAACCCAAGAAGAAGCGGAAGAACCCTCCAGGCTATCAAGCATACACGCGCAGACTCATCGTCACCACCACTACTGAAGAAACACTAATATATACACTATATCATACACTCATTCTAATATTAATAGATTATTAACTACTCATTACTTATTACATTTAATAAAATTAAAGACTATAAGCACAAAAGACAGTACTGAATAATTGCATTGCCCCTTCTACTTGCCAGCATATTTTATAAGTTTTTTTCTATTTGAATAAAATAAAAATACATTTAAAATTTAAAAAATTATTAATCTGCTTTTAAAAATATAATAAATATTAATGATTATTCATTATAATATAGGATACTAAATTAAATTCTTTGTTAAAATTTTGTTAAATAATTTTATTTCACTAATTAAAAGATTTACTATTGTGCGAAAAGAATTAAAATATTATATAATAAGATTAAAATGACATTGTCCATAAAAATATGTTGTATAGATAAAAATTAAAAAAATTAGTTGTAAAAATTGTATATATTTTAATATACTTTCATATCCTGATAAAACTAACGTTTTTGGATATTATTTAGATAATTTAAAGATAAATAATTTTCTTGGTATTTATCAAATTTATTAATAAAGACATTTGTGAATAATAAAATAATATTATAACATAAAATTAATTATTTGAAAAAAAAACAATATTTTAACAGTTAAAAAATGTGATCCAAATTTACTATTAAATTTTTTATTAATGTTTATTAATTATAAATTTAGGATTTAATATATATAAAAAACAGTTGATTTTTGTAAACAATATAAATTCTTTTTCTATATTATAATTTTGAAGGTTCACTGTCTGTATTTAAAATCAAAATTTAATTTTATGATTATTCAGAATTTTTGAAACTGAATATTTAAAAAAAATTGTACTCGAAAAATTATTTAAAATTAAAAATTAGTATTAAAATAAAACCTTTAAGAACTTAAATAACGTTAATATAAAACATAATATAAATTTTAATTCTTATTTAAATTTGTATTTAAATTTGATACACATTTAATAATTACTTTAAAATTATATTTTTGTCAATTATTAATAATGTTCAAACAAAAGTCTTTCCTACAATGTCACAAAATAAAAATTAGATACAACATATTTTATTTCTTATTTTATTTTATGTGTAAATTAATATCAGATAGATACGTAAGTTTTTAAACAATTCTAGAACGAATGATTAAATACTTTAATGCATGAAACTAAATATTATATTAATTTTTAAAAAGAAAGTCCAAATAACACGATAAAATAATAAAATGTTAACATATGAAACGCTATTTGAAATTGAAACCAGTCCTTTATTAAGTTAAACCATTATTACGCATGAGTAAAAACTCTACGATATCTAGTAACTACATAAGCAGTGTAACTTTAAATTATTGGTCACGAAGGAATACATTCATTGGTTCTTATGAAAATCCACAATGTGAATACCAAATTCTAAGATACTGAAATACCAGTAATAGAATAATAACAAAGAATTTATATACTTAATAATTAAATAATTATTTTTTATAATTTAATACATTATTAATAAGATTATTAAAGAATAATAAACTTGAAATAATTCATTTTTTATTTTGTAAGTTTCATATAGGAACTATTATTTTTCAATATGCTTTATTTATATTTGTTCGTTAAAAATAAATTAGAATTAGATTGTGTAAATATATTTAATAAGTTTATTTATTTATTTGTAATAAATTGTAATAAACTTTCTATGTATGTACTTTTTCAAATTAGATCATAATCAGCGCAGTTACTACTTTATATATATATTTATGTATATGTATATTATATGTATATTTATATAAATATATATATATATATATATATATATATATATATGCATATATATAAATATATAAATACAGAAATAGTTCGAATTGTATGAGTCGTAATAAGAGCCAATAAGTTTATATCTTTACTGCGCATGCTTAAAAAAAGCCAACTATCTACATTCCCTATATATGTTTATATAATTGCATATGCGCATACATATATATATATATATATATATATGCTGTATATTATGCATTCAGATCATATATATATATACCAATAACTTACTCTCAGTTATCTACTAATTTCATGATAATAGGAAAATGTTTAGTCTTGATCTAGATATTGTGACAATTCATTGGACTATAGAAATTTTAACAAAATTTTTAGATCGTACAATATTATTATCATGTAAAAAATCATTTTAGTTATACAAGTATGATTATAATTAAATATATTTTAATGAATACATTTATATTAATATTAATATGATATTTCATATTAATCTATAGTATTATAAAAAATAATTATTTATCACATTTTTTTTTAGGTACTACCGTATTTAAATGAATTGTATTTGCACTGTCTGTAAATCACAAACTAATGGAAGTTTTGGGTATAAATATTACAAGATTTATTTATAAATATTAGTGTTTCGGATAAATGATCAAAAGATATATGTAATTTTATAATACCATTTAAATACTTTAATTTATTGATATTGATAAATTAAATCAAAGATTAGTATTTGTATTCATTTATTTAAGGTTATTCATTTTGTAATGAATCGTGTGATTGACCAGGATAATATACCGCAACTAAACCTGGGTACAGTACAGGTTGATGGAATTGAAGAAATGGATACGCAAGAAGGTAACAACTATTATCTGTTCTATAAGATAATATTTATAATAAAATAATGTAAGTTTTATTTAAATTTAAATCAGAATTATATAAATATTATTTGTATATAATAGAAATATTATTTATGCTATTATTTAACTGAGGTAAAATTTTATTAATTTAAACATTATAAAAACAAGAAAACATTCTTTTCTTATTTTATTAAATAATTAAAAACTTATATATATATTTAACAATTTATTATTAATATTTTTTATTACCATATATAGATATTTTATATTTCATTTTGATATATTATTTGGATATTAATTTCAAACATAAATGTAGATGGATTATCAATATATATGGTATATTATTGTTACATCAAAGAATATAGTTAATAATAATCGAATTATGTATTTATACTGTATGTTAGTGTATTAATAATATTGCTAAAAGATAATAGAATTAAAATAATTGGAATAATAATTTATTATTTATATTTTTTAAAGTTAAAAAATAAGCATTCATGAATATTGAAAATGAAAAAATAGAACTTTATCTTTCTTTTGTCTTAAAACTTTTAACTTTTGCTTTTAACTAGCTTTTTACTATTATTATGATATTAAAAAATATCATTACTATTTAATTAAAATTAAAATTATAATTAAAATTTACTATTTCTTATACTACTTTCGTGTATTTATACAAATTTATTTGTACCAAAAATTATGAGAATTTTAGAAATATCAAAGTATGTTTTTTTTCAAATTGATTTGGAAAATCATATTTTATTTGAAAGAATTGAAATTTAACACGTATTATTAGAATTAATTTAATTTCAAACTCACAAAAGTTTATTTTCTTTTATAAAACTTTCTCTTTCAAGTAAAGTAAATGTAAAATCTTTTGTTAATTAATCAGTGGTAAATTATGAAGTGCAAAGGGATCCTTTAATACTTTAGTATTAATAATATTCCTTATAAACATAAATATTTATATATCTATATTTCAAAATTTTTAAAAAATAGTTATGAAAAATACTTTAATAAAAAAATCTGATTTTACTAATATTTAATAGTTTAATATATAAAAATATATCAGAACATTTATTATATATTATACATATATTATATATAGTTAAATGTATATGACTTTCTTTTACAAATATCTCTATTTGATATGATTAATTATTTATTCATTTCTAAATTTTATAAGTTCTTATAAATGCTTTTATTACAATAAAATAGTTTTTACTTCATTTCCTGTCTTATTGTAAAAATGAAAATATTTCATGCCATTCACGTATTTTTTTATCTAAACAATCAGAATTATACAATTATTATTTTATTTATTTTTTAATTAAGCTAAATTTAAAATAAAATTTACCTTACCAATTCTAAGAAGTATACAATTACTTAATGTCGTTTAATCTCTCTGTTACAAATATCCTATATTATAAAATGATAATTATTAATTGTAAATCTTCATAAGTTAACTACAATATAAATTAATTTATAATTGTAAATAAGTAAAATTATAATATAAATTATTAGTGAATTTATTTTTTATTATCTACTGTAAATTTTGAAAAGTTACATCATTTTTATAAATGATCAGTTATCTTTATTATAATTTATAAAATATACTAACATGAATGAAGATATTATGAAACTAGGATTTTTGAATTATGTTATAAAAGAGAGAGTAATCAAAATAATTATCAATAAATACTAATAGCTATATATATAGCGTTATAGTATAATTCTTGAAGCAATAAGATAATAAAAATCTGATCAAACGAAATCTGTTAACTTATTAAAAAATAAAAATTTCTTACTTTTAATGTTATTTTAATTAATATTTGAAAGAATATATTTGAATATAATATTACTAAGGGATGTGATCATAAATTATACACATTTAATTAATTTTATAAGTTAAATGAATATTGAAAATGAAATACTGGAAATGAAAGCTATATTAATGCAATTCTTGAAATTTGAAATAATGAAAGTTTTATATAGTAATCATATATAGGTAACTAAATATATATCAATATTAATTTTCAAATATTTGAGACTTTATTAAGCCAATTGTTTCTATAAAATTATATACTTCGTAATGTTCATTTTTAAAGTAGAGATTAAAAATGTATTTAATATAATACAAAACCGAAACAGAAGAAAATTTGAATATGAAATAGTTAATATTAAAAATATATAAATAGTATACTATTTATATATTATAGTTTACTATATAATAGAAATATTCTAAATTGTATCTGCTGTTTTTAACTGGGACTAGTGAAGAAAATGTGAAATAAATTCTCATAATTTTCATAGCTTTAAAGCTAATTTGAAACCTAAATTTATATAAAATAAACTAGTGTGTTATCAGCCAAGCACAATTTTTTATTTATTAACACCATGGTATTTGAAAATGTATATTAAAAGTTTTTAAAAATTTTATAGTCAAGTATAAATCGTGTTTAAAATTGATTGACTTTACGTTGCTTATATTTGAAAATCCCTTTTTGAAAAACAGGTGTAAGCATTCAACCAAAAAGGATTGATTAATCCTGTTAACTGATTCTCAATTTACAGCTCTTTTTGAAGTTCCCAATGAGTTTTGGGAAACCACATAATCTTTACATAAGAAATATCAAAATGTACATGTTTACAACTGTCTTATGCAATCGAGAGCGTTTACAACAATACATTTATAATTTTTAATTACTTGAAATTAAATTCTATATTTATTTTTAATATATAAAAATATTTTGTAAATTGCTATTTATTAATATTTTATAGTAAATTAATAAATTATAATTTTCTATCGAAATTTTTAATATTTTTAATTAAGAAATTGTCTTTTACTTAATAGTAAAATATTAGCTATGTTCTAACAACATTATACATAATAAGCTTTTGTATAATTTTTTTTAATAAGTAAAATGTGATATGAATAATGCTGATAGATAACTTTTTCAGTAGAAGTATAATTGGTTTGTATTCTTTTATTCATTAACATTATGTAAAACAAAAGTATTAATAAATATATACTATTAGAAAAAGTTATTATTTAATACTCATTTTTTAAACAATTTCATTAAAAGAAAATGTATATACATTTTTGTTGCACTATTATAAATAATATATACATATATTATTTTTATTTATCTAGAAAAATATCAAATTTTACATAAATAAAAATCTTTATGTACACAAAACAAGAAGATTAATTTTGAGAAAAAATATTCTTTTGTAGTTACAATCTGTATTACTTTTAGGAAGTTTTTTCTGTTAAATAAATAAGGATCTATTTTTCTATAATACATATTTTATATATCAGAAATACATTGGTTATCAATTTTGATGTTTCTCATTGTAATTCTTAGCTATCAATGCTAAATGTTATATAATTATTAAAACTTTCATTGATATTTTTTGGATGATTTACTAAGCTAATATAAAGTATATCACTAAATAATTCCTCATTTATTGAGATAATGCTTTTACAGCTTCAAAATCTAAAACGTAGTATGTTTTCATTATAACTTTCTTATTATTTACACTATATACGAGCATACTAAGGTTAATTTTACTATTGTAAATTTTTAACTATTAAAATTTTTTATGTAAATAAAACTCTTTTATTCATATTAGCAATATATTGCAGATATTTTTCGATTTTTATCTTATTGATTAACAAAAAGATTATTTGGCGATACAAATGTTGATTAACCGATAATTTTTACTGCGTTTAAAAAATAATTTTTTGTGCTAATATTCTTTTAAAAATTTTTATATTTTTACTTTTATTTTGATTATTTTATATATATTTGTTATGAATTAAATATTCAATCCATATTTCAAGAAATGTCTTTAAAAAAGTATATATTATATAAGTTATTCACTCTCTATAATTTAAATAAAAATAACAATATGATTATTGGGGTTAAAGATAATTTAATAGCAAAATAGTATGCATTGTGTAATTATACATTTAAATTATTTAATCATTTGATACTGTCTCCTACAGAATGCATAAACAGTCGGCTAAATTTAATTTCGTTTTCAGGTTGAACTGTGACAATATTTTTTCATCATTTATATTATTAGATAACATAAAGGTCTCGTTAAAAATGTTATAGACGAAATTTAGAAGTTGATATTTAAAATATGAAATAATTATAATTTACGTAATAATATTATATATATATATATATATATATATAATTATATATAAGTTCTAAAACTTTTGTATCAAATTAATATTTATTTTTTACTAATATATAATATTGATATAAATTCTTATAGATATAAAAAATGGGGTACTATTTCTTATTTTTAGAGGCATCTAATGACGTAGAAGGACATGATCGGCAAATAAATGGCGAATCTGAATTAACTTCTATTTCACAAGATCAAGAAATGGAAGAAGGTTGGTTTATTACTTTTAATTATTATTTATAACAAATATAGTTGGAACAAGTTAATTTATACAAATTGGTAAACAAAATATATTAAGTGTTGTAGATTTATATATGAATAAACTAATTTTAAATGAAAAATAATAAAAAATTATAAGTAGTTAATAGTAGATTAATAGTTTCAATAATATTAAATATGTACATCAAATATTTAAAGTTATGTTATTTACTCTTAGTCTACCAAATTTAATTAAAAAATTTGAAAGTAATAACAAATTATATTATGACTTCACAACCCATTGTATAAAAATTTTTAATGTTATCTTATAGATTAAGTATTAAACTTATCTTTTAGATTGATTTATAATAATTGTTTAAATATTTAATGAAAGCATTGTTTTTTTATTTACTGTATCAAATATACCTAGCTTTCAATTTTTAAAGAATAATGGTATTTTATATTAAAAATACAATAATAATTTTAAACATGTGTTATATTTCTTATATAGTTTAATATGTTTATACAAAAACTACAAATAAAAAAACTACGTCTATAAATACTAAATAATCAGATTTTATTTTTTGCTATTTAATAATTGAATAATTGAATTATTCATTGAATGAATTATTAATGTTAAATAATTGAATTATTTAATATTGAAATTTAATTAATTCTAGTTATATTAATTGTAAAAACAATTTAAATACAATTTATTTTAAATATTTGTTGAAATTAGTTTTTAAATATGAAAATTTTAGTATGCTAAATTAGTTAAACCAAAGTAGTATTTTAAAAGTAATTTTTTCAGTTAAATTTAAATGTAGATTACAAGTTTTTAAACTTTTTTACAATGTACAGTACGTTGTACAGATATTTCATTATTTTCATATTTGTCTTATTTATTCATGTTATGTATTGAGTTTTTTAGAAAATATCAATTATTAATTATTTGTTTTTTATCTCCTTAGAATTGTCCAGCAATTTCCTTTATAAGTAATATATTCTTTTTATTTATTTTTTTTCTAAGTTCTATGATGATATTTACTGCGACAAAAAAAGTTTTAATAATTTTATGAAAACTTCAGAGAATATAGTTATATATATAGACAGTTATGCAATAGATTCCTATTATTCAATGTTCATACACCTTTGATTTATTTAGAAAAGACATAAATAATCAAGTAATTACGAATAAAAGTATAAAAACATTGCAAAAATTATTGTCTTTGAATGGAATTTTAGACAATTTTATAAGTAGTATCTGATCTGAAAAAATAGTATAATATTCTTCTATCTTAAAGTTTCCTAATAACTAATTATAATAATTTATAATTAATAAAGCGTGTAATAGTAGTTTTTGAAAGAACACCTATTATTCATATCCAAATTTTATTATATTTTTGTATAAATTACCGTTAAACATTAATTACAAAATTGTTTTTTATTTTACATAATTTCTATTACATTTGTATTATTATTTAAATTATTAGCATTTATTCTATAAAAAATTTTGTCTTCCAGATGAAGCAAGATCAGAAGCGACTTTTCGATATAATGTAGAAAATGTATCAAAAATGAAAGACTCACAACTTTCTCCTCCATGTTTTGTAAGAAATTTGCCGTGGAAAATAATGGTAATGCCACGTTCTAGTCAAACGCAAGAACGGCAGCCACAAAGATCACTAGGTTTTTTTTTACAATGTAATGGTGAAAGTGAATCATCATCTTGGAGCTGTTTTGCAACTGCAGAATTACGTTTACTTTCGTGTAAAGAAGGGCAGGATCCATTTAACAGAAGTAAGTTTTAAACTTTTTTTCAATTTCGAAAGTCAATTAATATATTTTAAGTATTACATATAAAAAAGAAATATATAGATTCATATATGTTTGTGTGTTTACTTATACAGAGGAATTATAAATTTTATTGAATTCGTTTGTTTTGTTTTTTTTACAAATATTTGATTAGAAACTACGGCACAGCTATTGTTTGCTATAAATATTTAATAATTGATTTATTAATTGTTCCATATCAGAAAAAGTTAATATAATATCAAATTATAAAACTTTTTACTATTTCCAGAAAAAATTCGAGTAAAATAATATTCGTCGATAAAACAATATAAACTACAGCCAGTTTGACAAAACAGCGAACAAATTATCAAAATAACGTGTACTGATATTAACTGATCTTTAATTTCATATATAATTAAATTAAAAAATCAAATTAGCTTTTTATTTTGGTATTTATAATATATGACTTTGTATATTATAGTTATTTGTTATTATAATTTAAATATATTCTAAATTTTGTATAAAATATATAAATACTCATAGTTCATGTTTTCTAGAAATTCAGCATTTATTCTACAGCAAAGAAAATGATTGGGGATTTAGTCATTTTATGACATGGCAAGATGTCCTTGATCAGGAGAAAGGTTATATTAAAGATGATTCAATTACTTTAGAAGTGAGTTTTCTTTGAGTAATATATATTTGTAATAAATATACAGGAATAATATATAGATACAGCCAAGTTATAATTGATTATATATTTAATTTTCAACACAATGACCATTAAATAAATATTAAAATTTTAATTAATCTATACATATATTTTAGCCTCCTAAACTACATGTTTAAAGAAAATACTATTAATGGGTTTAATATAAAACATTCAAGATTGACTTCACAGTTACGATTTCATAGTAATATATCAATAAAATCATGCTTACAAAGTATTTTTGAAAACAATAAAAAAGTCAGGTTTATAATATTCAATTTCCTTGATTATTTTGTGAAAAAACTCAATGTATGTTTTTTAGGTACATGTTGTGGCAGATGCACCTCATGGCGTTAGCTGGGATAGTAAGAAACACACTGGATATGTTGGTTTAAAAAATCAAGGTGCCACTTGCTACATGAATTCATTACTGCAAACTCTTTATTTCACCAATCAGGTATTTTTTTTAAATATTGTTGAAATATATTTATAATATTACATAATAATGTTTTAATAATGTGAAATAGACTTATAGATGTAATATCTTATTTAATTTCAAGCATATTTTATATTTGTATTTTATATTTTATAAAGCTTGATTAAGAAATGTAGTATATTTATTTATATTTATTACATAAAACTTTAAATAATATTATTTGTAAGTATAGTATAGTATATACTATAATCACAAACATATTTCATATAATTTCTAATTCATTATTAAATAGTGGTGCTGAATATCGTAAAAATATAAATATTTAATATTTGCATGATTTTTTCTGCAAAATAAAAGATGAGACCAGCAATTATAACTTTATAACAATGGAAATATGCTTCCTTTTATTCTTTGTTTTTTCTGGAATGGAATTGCAGTTATCACCCAATAAACTGTATACTATTCATTGATTGTATTAAACTATGATATAGTTCACCTATTCCATTGTAATTTATTTCAGAAGAAAAATATATTATGTATGCCCACAAAAACGTAACTTAACTTCACTGTATATTTGCATTTATGTATACATTGTTCAAATTTACTTTGTTCTCCTGTAACATACGTGCATATGCAAAAATACATATATATAATCAAACATGAAATACTAGTATTAAGTTCATAAATGATGCATCCTCATAAACGTATTATACCATGATACATGTGACATGAACTAACATGAAACAAAATTCAAGGGGCTAATGAAAGAGAATAAAAACTTGGTTCTTTATTTTATATGCCAAATGGGCAAAAATAATAGAAAACAAGTATTGTTTTACATGTGAGAATAAAAAATTGAATGTATTAAATAGACAAGTTGATTTACTATTTTTTATAATCAATATGAATTTTTGAATCCAGTAATAATTTATTTCAATTAATTTAAATTATGTTCTATAATGACGTAGAACAATTAAAAGTATACTTTTTACAAATACTCTAAATTCATTTATATATAAATTATCTATAAATTGTGTATGTTCGTCAGTTGCAGTTACAATAATAATTATTTTAAGAGAATTATCAAATTTAATGGTCTAATATAATAAATATAAATATTTATACCCTGATAATGTAATTTATAATAAAGCAACTAAATTTTGTTCTAATCTATTGAACTAATAATTAAATTTAAAAAATTAAATTTATAAAATTAGAAAATACACGACTGTATGTAGTTACAGTTTAATAAATAAGAAATGCAGTCATCTTGTAACTTGTATTTTGTAAAATAAGAATATGAATCAGAATGGTAGAGATACTTAATATTTTTAAAGCAATATGTAGGTGATCAGCTAAAAATAGTTTCTGTCAGATTTGTTGAAATATTAAATTGATCAGGTACAAATAATAGACAAGAGCTCATAAATAAATTGATAAACAAAGTAATATGTTGAATTGAGAGTTCCAAAAATAACAAGAAACAGATTGAAGGTGGTATATTAATTGGAAAAAAAAATACTTAAAATAGAAGTCTTTAAAGGTTTATGTGAGTAAAGTAGTAATTAAAATAAAAGACAATAGTGAAATCTATTATCTGGAAGAAAGCATAAGATCAACCGAAGGAAACCATGAATTATTATAAGATCATGACAAATCTTGAATAGGTTGAAATAATACAAGAACTTTCGACGGGCTTAGTATAACCCGGAAAGAAGAATTAATAAAAAATATATGCACTAAAATTGTCTGATTAATACTAGATTGTTCATGAAAGTCAAAAAAAAAGAGAAAGAAAACGTTTGAAAACATTCAAGACATGGAAATGTATACAAAATCATGAGCGATAGAAGTAGAATTGGTGAACTAAATGTTGCGACTTTTAAATTTTCTAGTTATTAAAGAAAAATAGTTAAATAAAAACTTTATAAATGAATAATTAAAATTCATATATTTATCAACAATTTGGTTACTTTTTAAAGTTATAAATTTTAAGCAACAGAGTTTTAAAGCTTTTAATTATCATTTTTTTGATAGTAATAAGTGCAATATTTTTGTTATTATTATATATTATTACAGGTGCTTATTATGTATAAATATAAGTTCGGAAAGAGGAAGAGAAAGCAAAAATTAAAACCGATTAATCTGCACAAGAGCGTAACACAAGAGCACTATCGTTTTTATATTATTTTAATATCTACAAATATATATTGCTCGAAATTTATCTGAATTCAGAAATCTATTATTATTTCAAAATTTACATGATTAGGAGAAGTTCAAATAATAATAATTTATATAATAATACCATAATTCATTATATCATATTCCATTATTTTTGTGATAATATTGTAAAAGAAAATACCATCAGATAAATGGGTGTAATCTATGACAACTATTCATTGTAGAAAGCAAATATAATATATGTAACAATGAACAATATGCTGTTTATTTTAGATCGTTTCACGGATTAATTTACTTCATATAATTTTAATAAATATTTGATATATATGACTAGTCATAGAAATAATTCTAAATTTTTGTTTTCCATTTGACATTTACAATATCTAATGTTATAAAAAAAATATATTTAAGTATATTTTGCTTAAATTTATTATTTACTTTAATGTTTTTGAAACTTTAGACAAATAGAAATTATACAAATTAAATATTTATTTTGAGAAGCTATAAATAATTTCTTTTCACAATAATTTAACTAATAGGTGGTTTTTATTTTTAATGTATACTTATTAAGTAAATACATGACATTGGAAATTGTATTTTCTTAAACTAGTAACTTGTTTAAGATTATAAATTATAGTAGTTACTTTAAGTCTTTCAACAAAAAAATAACTAATTTTTACTTACAATGAAAACTAATATTTTTAATTAGTTTATAATTAAATATTTTTATTTTATTTTCAGTTACGTAAAGCGGTGTATAAAATGCCAACAGAAAGCGACGATTCTAGTAAAAGTGTAGCATTAGCTTTACAAAGAGTATTTCACGAATTACAATTTTCAGATAAACCAGTAGGTACGAAAAAATTAACTAAAAGTTTCGGATGGGAAACTTTGGACTCTTTCATGCAACACGATGTTCAAGAATTTTTACGTGTGGTAACAACATTTTTAAATAATAATGCATATTGATAAAGGAATTCATATAAGTAAACAAATTGACAGTCTATAATATCATTGAATAATATATTATAAAAACTTATAAATAAGCATCCTCTAGTGTTATAGCTTGAACAGCTGACTGTCGAAGTGGGTTCATAAGATCCGAATAGGCAAAATAAAAGTATTGTTAGAATAACTAAAAATAAATTAAATACATTCAAAGCATTTTCACTTAAATAACAACTTAAGGAAAAACTATATATAAATATATACAACTATATATAAATATATATATAAATATAAATTAAAGTAAATATAGCATTTACAGGAAGTATAAATTGTCCTAAAAATTTTAAATACCATAATGTATTATTAATTGAATACATCATTCTAAAACGAAGTTTGACGTTGAAAGACTTTATAGTACAAGGAATAATTTTTATTAATTTTTATAACAAATTGGTTCTGATTTTATTTTTACACTACCTTTGGTGTTCACTATCTTTACACATTTTAGTGAATGTTTGCATTTTAGTAATGTATGATGGTATATAAACAAAATATGTTGTGTTGATTTACGTCACTAACTATAAATTTTGAAGTATTAATGTTATTAAATAAGGTATCACAGCTATCGAAAAACACATTAATTATTGTCATTGAATAAATTTAAAGTAGATATAATATTCTCAGAACATTAAGCATTAAATAATGGTTGGATAATTGTGAGATCATTTCATTTAATTACGAAAACAAAATATTAAATGTAACAATAGAAGAAACTAACCATAAACTGGTTTAAAGCCTCTGTATATAATCTATAGTAATTTTTTCCACATTTCAATAATATATAATCTGTGCTGCTTAATGTATTGCGTGGCTTTTCAGAGACTCATTGCCGTACACTTTCTGTAGCGTACTGGTCAGTATATATATATATTTAGTATTTAGTGCATTATTAAATATTCAGGAAGGATTATTAGAATATTCCTTGAAAAAAATTTTTAATATTCAGTTTGAATTATATTAAAAATTACCTAAAAATATATGGTTTTTTTTAATATTTATTATTTATAATGTATTTTATTGTATTACATAAATTTTAGAGTGATATAGAAGTTGTGTATTAAAAATTTGTATTTATTTTTAGACGCAAAATGGTTAATGTTTTACCCTACCCTATTATCAAAAACATTTGGTAAGTAGAATTGATTCCTTGAGCAAATTTTATTTTATATTACATGCTATCGCGGCTTTTCTTTGTAAACTATGATTTTATGGTAATATTGCGATAATAGTAATTTTTCAAAAAATATTAAAGAATTTTAAGCATACAATTAAAGACAGAATTAAAGTAAAGTCTTTAGCATAACATTAAAGAGTAAATACATATTTTAATAACTTTAATAGTAATTTAATATTTATTATTATAAATTTATTATATATTAAAAAACTTAATATTGGTTACAATAATGATGTTATAAGAGAAAAATTTAAAAATAATCTTTGATTTTTTAACATTTTAAAGTATACAAATTTACAAGAAATTTGGGTAAGCAATTTTTTAAGTGTTCAATGTAAAAGTTAATCAAAAACTAAAAAACACTTAATAATATATTAAGCTTATTTTAATAAGCTATTGACAATCGTAGTGAGTACGTAAATAAGATGTAGATTTTTAAGATTAAATTTTTAAGATTAAACAATAAATCTTGGAATATATTTTTAATACTGTTCTTAAAGTTTTTATCGAAACTTTACATATGCTCTAAACACTTATAGTTTTTCTCGTAAGAACTATTACTAATATTTTCAATATCTAACGTATTACACTATATACTAATTCAATACTATAGACGTGAGAAAAGCTAAAGTAATATTTTTATTAATTATCTCATTTATTATTTGGTATGACGTACTTTTTTTTTGCTTTTGTTTCGTTTCGTATAACACTATCTAGTTGGTCTATAATAACTTACATATTAAATACATAATAATCTTCTTTGTATATAGTATTCTAAAATAGGGATTGAATTAGGAAACTAATAATCTTTTTTTTTTTTAATGAATTTCATATTCTCCTATAACATTTTAATATTATCGATTTATAATATTGCTTCATCTTAAAACTAGCGATTGCTTGTATTTTTGTTAAATACTTATTTAATTCTTAGATAATATAAAGTAGTATGAGGTCGAGAAATATAAATAAATATTTATGCTCCTTTATTGATTTAATCAAATTTCCATGATTTGACTAATGATCAGTATCAAATATTAATATTTATCATAAAACTATTAATCTTCTTAGAATTACTAGCTGAAATATTTTGTATTAATTACATATAAATAATTCCTAAATATACTAAGCAGCGTTTTTATTATGGATAATCAATAAAAAGATATGTGATACATTTTATTAGGTCAGAAATTACTTTGCAATTTTACCATACGAAATTATCTCAAATTTTTAATTTGTAATCCACGTTATATAAATATTTTTAATTGATTTGATAAAATCCAAAACATTCCTTCAACTTAATTATGATAGGTCTACAACGTGTGTTAAATTTTATAAAAAAAAAAATATTAAATGTATTTAGAACATTTTAGTACTCACAGTATCATACAAATCAAATTATTATTGTTTCGTAAATTTTTCAGCTATAATAAACTGTCGTTAGTTGATACTTGAAAACTGTAAGAAACTTAGTATTAGCTCAAAACCATGCATTTTGTATAAAATTCGATTTGTTTTTAATTAACTTCATCTATAGTGTGTTAGATTTAAATTCCATGATAATCATGAGTTATTGTAGATTTTTAGTTAAAAAAAACAATCAGAAACCTCTAAAATTTTTGTATATTCTTTAGCGTATGTTGTTCAATGTTCAAATAAGCTTTCAAAATTTTAAAAATTGAAAAACGATTTTTAAACCCGAATGAACAAATCTAAAAAATTAGTCTCTTATGGCAAAAACTATTTACCAAATGAATACTAATACAATTTAATCTACATTATAAAAATGTATTAATTAAAAAATCTTTATTTACTATAAAGTATAAATATATTTGCTAAATATGGATTTTTTAAAAATACTACTATCTTTATATTTGTTATTATAATTTAAAATATTATTAAAAAAAAAATTTTCATTTAATTTCTGGATAATCATTAATTGTAACGATTAATGTTTTTGTTTTAAAATAATTGGAAATATTTAAAGGCATACTTTGCATGCTTAAATAACAAATAATATAAAAAATAGTCTTAAGTTACAAACAAATTATTTAATGAACAATATGAAAAATAAAATTTCTAATTATAGTACTTTTATATCGTATACTATTTCGAAGTATAAGTATGTAATGGAATTATTCAAAGATCAATCAGCAAGTAGATATGGTTTAATAGTCAAGATCTTAATATTGTGTAATGTAATAAATATTGTTTTTAAGAAACTTGATACAAATGGCAGTAAAAATCAATACTGATTGTTTCTTATAATGAAAATCAGCATTAAAATAAATTATCAAATTAGTTTATATTTTCCAATATTTTGTAAAAATATTTGTATGCTTATGTAATAAATAAAAGTACGAAAACATTCTTAATTTTAAACAAACGAGTAAGTAATAAGCAATTTGGGGATAAGACATATAGTGTAAAAAAAAGTTTACGATTTTAGAACAAATTTAAAAATGCAAAAATATATTGCATGAGTGTAGAATAAGTAATTCATTAAATTAAAAATATACTTATTATTTTATTTAATTTTTCTCAAAACTAGTTAAAGATAATGAATTTTCAAATGTATTTAATCGATAAATTTATATCTTCAGCATTACTATATATAACTAGTTTTCTTTTTAAATAGTTCTTTTTCTGACTAATATTTAAAAATTTATCTTAAATATAAGCCTCTCCTTATAAACATTAACAAAATCGTTTTCAACTGAAACTACTTCGTCTTATATGTTTTATATATATTTTTTAATTACTGATATAAATTCGTATGTACAAGCTAATATTTTATTTTATCTGTTTCAGATAATACCACATAAATTTATCTTCATTCAGCTTTTTTAATAGTAACAGATATTTAATATATTTATACTATTTACTTATTAATAATATTATTATTAATTATAACGTTAATATCTTATTTTAATTTTAAGTGACTATATTTTCAATATTGACTTACGACTGTTGTGATAATATTTCATGCCAAATTAAAAAAATATATAATAAAAGTCCTCCCGTAATTCTCTATTTAAAATGTCAGATACAGATAATGTTAATAAACTCAAAAATTAATAAATTTAAGAATATCTATTTTCATTTATATGTAATTTTACGTGATCACATTTTCGACTTTTTATTTATTCTATCATATCTATGTCTTAAAATATAAATAATTGCTCGTTTATTATAACTATTCATTAAATTATTTTGTGAATGCCATCCGGATTTACGAAAATAATTTTTTATTATTTATTATAAAAATGTTTAGTAAACTTAATAATAGCTATCGAATAATTTCTAAAAAAATCACCTTTTTTATTTTTTGTTTTATAAATAATTTTTCAGTCTATACTTGATTAGATATAAAAAAAATTAATCTAAGCCTCTTATTTTTGGGAAAATGATGTCAGGCAGGACCTACATATTTTTATGTTAGATAGTGAAAAAGAAAGTTTAGTGTTGAAATATGAACTGAAAATGTCATAAAACTCCGTTTTCAAGTGACTAATAAAATACTTTTTTTCAAGCTTTCGCTTAATTAGGACTTCCCTTAATGCAAAGAATAATCCATCAAAGGAGTATTGTAGTTTAATTATAAGTAGTTCATATTTAGTAACGTTCATAAATTAAATGTTCTTTATGAACTTTGTATTATTAGTTTATTGCCACTTTCACATAATGTAATTATAAAAAAGTCAATATCTGGTTAGTTTTGAATAGTATGGAATCAGTAAATTATAATATATTTGATGTACAAAATATACTTAATATAATTAATTTTTTTACTTATATATTCTACTATAAAGGTTTGAAAATTAAAAAAAATCAAACGCATTATAGTATTATTATAATCTATTATTAACTGTGTTTTATTTGAAAATCATAAATAACCTCGTTACCAATTATCTAATTATTTTAAATTCAATATAGCTTTTAGTAATAAACATGTATTTAGTGTCAATATTGGACTTTATGAATATACCTAAACCTTAATTTATATAATTTTAATCAAAGTAATGATAAGCAATGTTACTTATTCTTACTTGTACATTAATTATTTTATTAATTTAAGATATATAAATTAAGTATATTACGCAATATACACGTATTGCTTAATTAAAAAATAAATATTCAATGAATTTAATAAATAATTATATATATAATATACTTGCAAATAATATTGTTTCTTAAATGTCGTTTATATTAAACTATAAGTATTAATGTTTCAGTTACTTGATAAATTAGAGAGTAAAATGAAAGGAACATGTGTTGAAGGTACAGTACCAAAATTATTCGAAGGTAAAATGGTCTCTTTCATTAAATGCAAAAATATCGACTATACATCCAGAAGAGTGGAAACATTTTACGACATACAATTAAATATTAAAGGGAAAAAAAATAGTAAGTTTATGTTTTCAAATATATTCTAATACCTTATTGATTTATATCTATATATAATATGCGGTAAAGCCTACATAATTGGAAGTATATAAATATTTACCTACATTGGTTTACAGTTTTTTAATTATATAAAGTATAAACATCTTAATTTTTGTCGCTAATCTTAAATTTTAATATAAAAACATACTTTAATATTTTAGATAAATGCATTCCAATTAAGTTAAATTATCGGCAATTATAACAATATATATTTACAATAATCGAATGTATAAATATAATTAATACTATAATAACAATTAGTATTCGTGTTTTGATTCGCAAACACTTTAGTAGTCTTGTGTATAATAAAAATAAAAATAAAAATAGATAACATAAAAATGACCAAATAATAATTCGTTAATTATTATCAGAACTAAATATATTAGTGCTTCCCGAAATCAATTTTTTTCTGAATTCTGTCAGTAGTTTTTAAACTTGCATTAATTTATTTTCCATTTATATTTTCCATTATTTTGTGAATAAAAATTTGTATTAAAGAATTAACTTTATAACTTTCATTTAATTTATATTGATTTGTATTGAATTCAAATATTCTACAACCGTTAATTTCTGAAAAATATTTTTAACTAATAAATGATTTATTTAGTATTTATTTTATTAATATTTAATTTATTTATATAATAAGAGTGCATAGTAAAAATAATTTATTTTATACGATATAAAATTGATTTATTATTATTTTTTACTTATTTTCCTATTATTTCATAGTTAACATATCAGAGTATTTTTAATTAATCGTTAAAAACTGTTTGTAATTTTGAAAATCTGGAGATAATAGTTTTTTCGTTAAAATATAATATATATTGTTTTACTAGTATATAGGAACCATGTTTAAAAATTTTCTATTTTGTAAAATATTGCAACAGTAGTACCTCCTATATAATATTAATAAGATAAAAAAGTGGAATACTTTTTTTTAAGAATAATAAATAATATAATAAGGATATTATATTTAAAAGATTCGCCTGTCACTTTTTAAAAATTGCAAATCAAATAACTGAATATCATTTTTTTCATTTGTTTATGAAATAAAATAGGATTAATTAAATATATAGATAATATTTTATTATATCTAAGTAATTTTTTGATAAATTTTTATTTCTAATACGATTGGTCGTTATGCAATTATTGTTTTTTTATACAAGATATTAATTATTTAATTAAGAAATATAATTTTTTCATGAATTATAAATATATATTAAAACAAAATTCTGTTATACATGAATATATATAAAAGAATTGATTATTTTATATGAGTAGAAATAATTTTTTTGTCAAGTTTTGAATTCATAATTTTAATAAACTTTTGATCAGAAACTAATTTTAGAAACCATATTATGAGTGAATAACCAGCATCCTATATTTTTATTTATTTTTTCAAACACATGTATTCTAATTAGTATTTATTTTTAACATATTGAACGCACAATTAAAAATGAATAATTCATTTTTTTACACGATATTGATATAATTAATTACTTATACTACAGTGATTTTAAAAAGTTATTATTTTTTTTAGAAAAGTAAATGTATATTGTATATATATTAATTGTTATATATTTATTTGTTACAGTTTATGAATCCTTTAATGATTATGTAAGTACAGAAATTTTAGACGGAGATAATAAGTATGATGCTGGAGAACATGGTCTCCAAGAGGCGGAAAAAGGAGTTATTTTTTCTTCATTTCCTCCAGTTTTACATTTACATTTAATGAGATTTCAGTACGATCCAATTACTGATTGTTCTGTTAAATTTAATGATAGGTAATTATAATTTTTATTTTAAGTATGGTATACTTAATAATCACATATATGTTAAATTATTTAGATTCGAATTTTATGAGAAAATTAGTTTAGGACAATATCTAAAAACTAGCAAGGATCTTATAAATGTAGATTATACCTTACATGCTGTTTTGGTTCATAGTGGCGATAATCACGGAGGTCATTATGTTGTATTTATTAACCCTGCTGGTGATGGAAAGGTAATTACTGTTCAATGTTTAAAAGATAAATAAAATAAATTTATAATTTATTATATTTATATGTCATTTGTATAGTCTGTATTATAATATAATGATATTATTATATTATAATATAGTATAATGAACTCCTAAATAACAAAGTGGAACATACGTATAATCCATAACCATTGAATGTTCATACATTCTTATTTATTTTACAAAATTAGCTACAACAATATATAACAATACTTTTAATGAAAGCCATACACTCTGTTAAAAAATTAGTTGATAATTTATTATATTCATATAACACTTGCTTTTTTAAGCAAGAATATGTTCATATTACTATGTTTTAATACTATTTACATATGTGTTAAAAAAAACAGTCATATCACTGATGTTTAAGAAAAATAAATACTATTTATAATTACGCCGAATTTTAATTTATAATTTTTTAATTATATCTTCAAGAAGTTAATCGCTTCTCACTTAATGTGATTACTTCTACAATTTTAATGAGAATAATAAAAATAATATGGCAAGGCAGAATCTACATAACAGCTTTTGTTTAAATCTCTAATACTCACACGTAGCTTGCAATAACAATATTTTTGCTTCTATGATACAAACCATTATCAGTATTAATAGTACTACACAATTCATCCGATCCACTTAAGATTTTTAATTAGATATTTTATAAAAGAAACTGTTACGTTAACAGCAGCGTATGTTGATTCATTAATCATTAAAAAGAAACTTCTAAATATATTAAGACTCGTTATTCTTTTGAAAAACAAGGATCAATGCCAATATTTAGATAGATAACTTCTAAAGCTTCAAACTTAACGATATAAATTATCATGAGATAATACTGATATTAGATTAATATTAACCGTCAGTGAAGAAAAATTAGTCATGTTTTACAAAACAAAAAAAATATTTTCATACGGAAAGTTTACTTGTTCTGCGAATAATTTATAGTTTTGTGACAAAAATCAAATAATTAAAATTAATAATAAAAATCTTAATTTTAATAAATATAAATTCGTTTTTTAATATTTTATTAAAATTAAATATATTTTTTCTTTGTGTGGGATAAATTTTGTATTACACATATTAAAAATCATGATACTAAAAAAATAAATGATAATAAAGGATAATAAATTATATTTCTGATTTTTCATAACTAAAAATCAATTATATAACAGTATTTTTTTATTAAACATACATACTTTATTTTAATATTATATAAAAATTAAATTTCTAATCCTTATGTATAAATACTTTAAAAAATTTAAGAATTCATCTCAAGCTCTTCTTCTATATACAAAATCAAATTTATTAATAAAAGTTTCAATCAAACTTTATACAGTATTGAAAATAAATTTCGCCGTAATTCAATGCAGAGAAAATAAATCTACTAAAACAATGATTAAATTGTCCAATTATAATTCTTTATCTTTATATTTATACGACTGTTAGTAAGTAGTAGGTACAAGAGATAAACAGAAATTAATTAAACTGGAGTTTATTTTGGCATTTTTTCAGATTTCCAAAAATACACATAATTTAATCAGGTATACAAAATTTATAGTTGAACATATTTCCTTTATAATTTCATGTCAAATTATCTTCTAAAATATCAAAAAATTTCGTTAAAACATTTTATTTAAATATTTCTATACATTTTGTTAATCATACACTGATATACTTATAAGCATTATTTATCAATATATTATGTAATTTCAATTAAAATAATATTCACTTTAATCATATATAATGATTGCATTATACAACGTATTGTAAATATTATACAAGCAAATATATACAAAGAAAAAGTAAAAGATTAGTGCTCACAGAAATTTAAATCATTAGAAAATATGGAAATTGCATAACAAATATTATACAATAAATGTTTAAAATGAAGAGAGAAATAAAAAATTGTAAAATAAACCAAAAATAGAAAACTAAATTAGAAAATCTTAAAAAGAAAATCTAACTAACGATGCTAAATGATATTTTAATGGCCTATAGATAAGATAATGCAAAAACTAAAGAATATAATATAAAAAGCTAATCGAAAAATATAGAATGCATACAGAGAAAGCAAATGATCCAAGCTATGTTCTACATGAAAAACGAGCGGTTATAGAAGAAATAGAAGACACTAGAACCAAGACCTTTAAGAAAATTTAAAAAATGAGACTGAGTTAAAATAAAAAGAGAACAAAATAATGAAAATAAGAGAAACTAAGTAAAAAAAGACAGAAACCAAAAATTATTTAAATAAAGAATGTAAAATATATATTTTAAGAAACGACTAAGAATTATTTTTATCTTTTGACAACAATTATGTATTAAAAATGTGTATGTTATAATTATAGATAATTCATTCTTTTTTTTTTAACTTAATTGAATAATAATCTAACAAGATCTAGTGATTAGAAAATATATAGTTTGGTTTAAATCACATGCGTAATCATTAGCTTAAAAGCAAGTTATCCCAGAATAACAAAGTTAGTTGCAAATAATACAAAAAACGTCAAGCATTATCATATTTAACATTTTGTATAGCACTTATTTTAACACATTTTGTCTGCTGCTTTAATATTATTTTGCATTCTGTAACAATTGAAACAATCTGACACTAAGTACTGAAATTCTAAACTAGATAAGAAATTAGAAAAATTTTCTGACCAAAACACAACGCAAAATATTATATAATAAAATCAATATAAAAATTTACTAAAATAATATAAATCAAAATATTGTAAGTGCTATTTAATTTAGTTTTGTTTTGTATTTATAATTGTCCTCCATCCTTCATATAAGTAACACATACTGCATTATTTTTTGTTTCCTTATAAATATATGGTAATTATGGTAAATTTTATATAATTTCGAGTACTCTCTTTAAGGATAATGCATTTCCTATTATCACAACTAAAATGATAGAAGAAAAAACTTGAACAATTACTTTTAATAATATAAATTTAATTATAAATTTTAGTAAATCTATCGTTAATAGTTTAGTAAAATATAATAAAATTATAGAAATAAAGAAATATTTATATTAGTACACTGTTTTAGTGTTTTAAATTATTACAAATTACTTTTACTTTCAAATTATTTATTTTATATAGGTATACTTATTATTACTTACTTTTACAGTGGTGTAAATTTGACGATGATGTTGTTTCTCGGTGCTCTAAGCAAGAGGCTATTGAACATAATTACGGAGGTCAAGATGAAGATATTTCAATGACAGTAAAACATTGTACAAATGCTTATATGTTAGTTTATATTAGAAACACCGAAATAGAACATGTTCTTCATGAAGTACGCGAAGAAGATATTCCTCAAGAGGTAAATAAATTTTATAATTGTACATATTTAAGTATTTAAATACATAATAATGAAAAATGTTTATTTTCTATTATATATATATATTACAGATAATATTTTCAATAATTAAGTAATCTTATTTTATAGCTAGTAGACAGGCTACAAGAAGAAAAACGGTTAGAGCAAATTAAAAGAAAAGAACGAAATGAAGCCTATTTATTTATGACAGTGAATGTTCTATTTGAGGATAGCTTTGATGGACATCAAGGAAATGATTTGTACGATCAAGAGAGAGTATTGTATCGCATATTCCGTGTACGGAAACAAGCTACTTTATTAGAATTTCTTGAGCTTCTTAGTGACAGTTTGGTAATTAAAGTACTTATTGATTTACATAATATATAAATTCTAAAATATTATAATAATAGGTGCGAATAACATAATATCAAATTAAACATATTAACATTTTACGACTTGCGATTTTTCCATATTTACATTATTTTACAAAATTGAGCCTCAATAATGTGGTGTCCCGCTATTCATTCACCTAATTTTGCAATTTGTTCTATACAAGACATATTTTTTATATAAGATATTACTAATTATTATGATTCTTCTGTACACCTGTATCTTCTTAACAAAACCGTAATTTATATATATGTAGCGATAGTACCAATGTTTGTATTCGTAAATGATAAATAAAAATAATCGTTTGCACATATTTTTAGTTAATGATTAGAAATAATAACATCAAAAACATCTATTTTATCTACTCACATAAATGAGTGATTCCAAAAAGTATGATATTTTCAAATATTCTAGGATTTAATTAGTAGATAAAATTGAATAATTTATAAAAAAAAGCTTTTTAAATAAAAAATTATATGAAACTTAAAAAGCTTTGGAATAAAATTGAAAAATAATTTAGTTAACAATATTAGATGACGGATGATATTCATTGAAGAAAGTACAAAAAAAGCTACAGCTATTTTGGGTTATCTTTCTTCAATTGCCGATAGAAAAAGACAATGTCTATTTTTTAAACCAATGATTTATTCATAGTTTCCTTTTTATTAATGCTGTTTATGTTGATATTTAGCATAAGTATTATCGGTGTATCAGAAAAGCTATATAATACTTATGAGCATTAATCGGTTAAATTGTATACCGGTTTTAAGGTAAAAAAATGTAACAACTGATATTTGTTAAAATATTTAGCACTCAAACAATTTCGAATGCTTCATAATATTCCTTAATTTATACTGTATGTTTGATAAAATTATTATTCCCTTTTTCAATATATATTTATGGTTCTATATTTTTGTATTCATTTGAATAAAAAATTTTCAAAAATGGCTAATGACAGTTTTCTATGAATAAGATGAGCAATATTACCAGAATCGTTGAATCAATTATACTATTAATTTTTTTAATAATTTCTTTATAATTATTAGTTAACTACGAAAATACTTTCATCTATAGCTTATATATGTTTTTCAAAATTATCCCAAATTTTTCTTATAATTAATTACCCATGTCGAACTTAATTTATAATTTATTTTAATGAAAAGGTATAATATATATTTAAATACCATCTTATTTTGTCAACTATCCATCGTGTTTCAACTTGCTGCATCAGATTCAGTAAATTATTCCAAATGCCTGAAATGCCCTCGGCTTAGGATTCAAAGATAATATTTTTCTAAAAGTTTGGAACATTACAATAACAAATTTCAAAGGATAGTTATTGTGTTCTATTGTATATTATTTATTTATTTTATGCACATTTTTATTTACACAATGATATTAATATTATTTTATTTTATTTCAGAAATATTCTATTGAACAAATTCGTGTATGGCCTTTTAGTATTAGATCAAATCAAACATGTCGACCTAGTTTGATTGAGTCTGAAGCTGATCTTCAAAAACCTATAACAGATTGTGCAGACAGCGGTAATTCATGGAATGTATTTGTTGAATTAGTATCTCCAGATTCTGGATTAACAGCTCTACCATCTTTTGACAAAGATACAGATGTATTATTATTTTTCAAATTATATGATCCTAAAAAAAGGAAGATTCATTACTGTGGACATCATTATATGCCTGTTATAACTAAAGTTCGTAAGTAAATTTTATTTTCTGATTTTTGTTTATTTTAGCCAAAATATTCATTTATCTCTAGTTTTGGAGTTATTTCAAATACATTGATATTCAGAACAATATACTTTTATTTATTATGTTATTACTTTATGTAATGAGCATAAATAGTATTGTAGTGCTTTTTTTAATTGAAAGATTCTAATTGATGAAACTACTATATTATATTATATGTATAAACTGTATTACCTGCACGCAGGTTTTTATAGTTTCTATCATGACGCGTCTAATTTATTTATTTATTTTCAATCTTACTATAAACAATGTCATTTCTTTATTCTTTCTATATTACTTTTCTATATTTAATTGATTATAGTTATTTTACTCGACATTTTCATTGTTTGAATTAATATATCAGTATAACACATCATAACAATAGATGAATTTACAAGCAAATACATTTCTATTTCTATAAATATATAGAATCTTCTTTATTAAAATTATGATTAATAGCAAATTATTCGTAGATAATCTTAGAAATTACATAAAGAAAATGTATTATATTATAATTTCTATTTACATAAATATAAGATGTACCTACCAAAAAACAATATTTCAGAAATAAAGATATGATAAAGTAAAATTTTAATAAAATTGAATTCGCGAATTTAATAGCAATAAATAAGCCTGTTCACATTTACATAATACTGTTTTTAGACATATCCTCGCAGACATCCTAAAATTCTCAAAATTTATCATATATTTTATATTTTTTTTTTTTATTTCATGTAATAAGTTTTGTATGTACTGTGTGCAACATAGATAAATTACCTTAAAATTTTTAAATCTAATAAAAATAATGTATTTATTAATATATATATATATATATATATATATATATATATATAGAACCTAAAAATGATATAATGAACTTATTATAACTCCAATATATATATATATATGTGTGTATATGCCTAGAATTAGACTAAAAACTCCCAGATGTTCGATGGGAGGATTGCAGCCAAGTGGAAGGGTTAGCACATTTATTCAATAATCAACACATGTGCGTATCGTGATGTTTTTTTTCCCTTTATTTTACAGACAATACACTAAATATGATTCTAAGATGGTATTGAAAACCTGTGAGATCTTGCAATTCGGTGATTGTTGTCACGGAGGTAAAAAGTCTTGATCCTTCATCTAGTGCGCTTGATGATAAATAATTACAGTCAAATTAAGAGATCATAAATTTCTAGTACTTCTTCGTGTAATATGCGTGATGGTAAATAAATGCCTATTGCGGCTGGCGCTTTCAATTCGCTCCTTCAATGCTGGTGCCGTTTGCACCTTTAAGACTGTCCGCAGGTGCTTATCTTTCAATTATATGCCCTTAGCTGCTGGCATGTTTGTGCATTCAATAAATGCCTAACGTGGCTGGTACATACGTACTTTCAGTAAATGGTTTCTCTTTCAATTAAATTCACAGAAATTCATTTTTCTTACCGAATTATTTGATTAATGCGCAGGTACTACGCTTCCTAGATTTCGTAATCGTTATTGGACTGCAATCAGCACTCTTGACTGCTTGAACTATAACGCACTTAAACAGTTATGAAATGTATTGGCTTCTCTGTATTTGGTTTACTAGCTTATTGTTGCCGCGTTCGCTGAATTATATACGTATGACGAGTAAGACTGACTGACTGGTATATGGCAGAATTTGGTACTGTGTAGAGTGGTAACTGATAACTGATTGATTGAGAAAATTACAGTGAGCATAGAAGCGTGTGGAGCTGCTCTTAAATATCCGCGCGGCAGCTTACTAAGCTAGCATCAATGCATGGGCTTGTTGCTAGACCGAAAGTCTTGTGACATCAGAGACCAAGCTCTAGAATATTCGAGGAGTTCAGAAAGACAAAGCTTTAGAAGGTTCGAGAAATTTTAATCGGTGTTGCTATGCGGAAATAAGATAGGTCACTCGAAAATTATGGGTAGAATATTCAAGAATTCTCAAAATCAATGTTTACAAATATGAGCGTCTGAAGGCTCGTACTTTTCTTGCTTTAAGTTCTTGGAAAATAGCTCCAATCCCGAACAATATATATTTATTCAACAATCAAAATGACTGCTGTCCACTTATATACATATATATTATACATATTATAGTCCGCCAACATACAATTTTTTTATTTTCTATAAAATGAGACTAGTAATAATTTATAATTATTTATATCATTTTTCTTTTCATTCAAATAAAGATCCTCGGTAGTATTTTACATTTTTTATCATAATACAATATGTTTCCTTTGTTCATTTTCTTAACTTTATTTATTTTTCATCAGTTCAATCTTGTAGTTTACCATACCTATTCCTTTTTTTAAATAAAATGTATTAAGCATTATAATTATAAAGTTTAATTATACTTTGTTATTATGATAATATGATAAAATTAATTTTTTTCCAAGAGGAGCTAATACCAATGTTAAATAAACGAGCGGGTTATCCTGAAAATACAAATTTAATTTTATACGAAGAGATAAAACCAAATATGGTTGAAAAAATCGAAAATCTATCTGAACCATTAGAAAAAGTACTAGAAGAATTAATGGATGGTGATATAATAGTATTTCAAAAAGAAGTAAAAGAAAATGATATGTATGAGCTTCCAACATGTCGTGATTATTTTAGGTAAGTGAAATAATTAAAATAATTTAATACATATTGATTTTTTTTAATAATATAGGAGTTTAATGTTTAGAGATATATCGTCGAGATTGGAAGTAACTTTTTGCGATAAAACAGTACCAAATGATACAGGATTTATTTTAGAACTTTCTCAAAGAATTACTTATGAACAAATGGCAAAAGCTGTGGCACAAAGACTTGGAACCGATCCATTTTTATTACAATTTTTTAAATGTCAAAAGTAAGTACTCTAACATGAATATAATTAAATAATATGTGTAAAAAAATACTCTTATGTAAATTTCTGTATTTAAGTTATTTTTAATTTAATTATATAAAAAAAATTTTTTACGATTATGTGAAAATATTATTTGGAAATATTTTTTGATGTAAAAGAAATATTAAAAAATATTGAATTTTATAATTATTAAAACTTTTAGAATATATTAAACGTAAAAATATTAATACACATATTTTTTAAATGTATTACTACCTGGACATTTTAAATACTTTTCATTTTTAATATGAATAAATATTTTATAAAAATTATACTTTAAAAAAATTAGTGTAATATGTTACAACTAAAAAATAAATAGACAAACGTTAAAACTAAACTATTAATATAATTGTTTGATTATAAAGAAAATGAATAATGTTACTTATATATAAATTATTTAAATTATGAGAAAATTTTATTAAATGAATAAATATGCATTCCAGTTATATTATATAACTTGAATATATTAATACATTTTTATTTTTCTACACTGATGTTTACGTATTTAATTATTTTTAGCTATTAAAACATAGTTTTTTTTATTATTCGATATTATAAAAATCGTTTATAAAACATAAAATGTGATTTTTAAACATTTTACTTCTTTTTTATCTGAAATATTTGTTTTTATATAACAGCCATAAAGATATACCTGGTAATCCTTTAAAATGTACTTTCGACGGTACCCTTAAAGAATTGGTTGCTAGTTGTAAACCTAAAACAAAAAAAATATATTATCAGCAATTAAGTATTCATGTAAATGAACTTGAACACAAAAAACAGTTTAAGTGTATTTGGGTTGGACCATTATTAAAAGAAGAAAAGGAAATTATTTTATATCCAAATAAAAATGGTACTGTATCAACATTATTGGAAGAAGCTAAAAAACAAGTTGAACTATCCGACAATGGTTCTGGAAAATTAAGAATATTAGAAATCGTTAGTTATAAATTACAAGCTGGGCCAGAAGAAGATGTTTTGTTAGAAAATTTGAGTACTAATGGTTCTAAAATATACAGAATTGAAGAAATACCAAAAGATGAATTAAATTTATTGGACGATGAAATACTTGTCCCAGTTGCTCATTTTCATAAAGACATAGTGTCTACATTTGGCATCCCATTTTTTTTTAAAATTAAACATGTAAGTATTTCTATTTAACTATAACTATAATTTTAAAGTATTATAATTGCTTTTGAAATTATTTTATGTATTCTGAACATATTAATTACTTTAATTAAAATTTAGTTGTAAATATCTATCTTATATTCATATTTATTTTAATATAATTAATATATTTTTATTACGAGTAAACTCATATTGATTTGCATAAAGATATCTTTAATCCTTAATACATTTCGCATTTAAAAAAAGATCCTTTTAGGTTTTCATATAAATTCTATCTAATATTTTTCTTTTCTATGATGTGGACAAAATTAAATAAATTTTAAGACTGAAATAGTTTTAATCGCGATATTGTAATATAAGCGCTAAAAAATTTTCTTTTATTCCATATATAATTGTAAATGTATATATATTATTTAGGGAGAACCATTTTTTAGAATGAAGGAAAGACTTTTTAAACGTTTATGCGTACAAGAAAAAGAATTTGAAAAGGTACTTAATTTAGAAATTATTATACTTTTTACTAATACAACATTTCAATTTTATAAAAATATTTTATAGTTCAAGTTTGCTGTTGTTACATCCAATAAAGCACACTTCATTAATGAGTCTCCGGATTATTGTATAGATATAGCGGATTTCAAACCACATCTAAATCAGTGTAAGTTTTTAGCATACTTACGTATATTTCTTTTATCTATATTTTTCTATTATTCAACAAATTCGAAATTTCATATGCGATATATTTAGTATTATAAGAAATGCTTTCATCTGTAAAATGCTGGATGTGTTTAAGAGATTCGTTTTTCAAATACGTATATTTTTATAATTTATTATTAATTTGTTTTATAGTATCGACCTTTCAATTTTAGTTAATGTAAGCGACACCAATTACTTGAAAATCATAGAATTTCATGGTAATTTATGTAACATATAATCGTCGACTAAAGCCCAAAAATAGAATCTTTATATATATATATATATATATATATATATATATATATATTTATATTCGCTTACGTCGACGATATTTCTTATTTATTAAACCAATAAATATTTGTATTTTACGAAGTATCTTACATATGTACAATAACGTTCGTTTAATGTTAAATACCTTGCTTCACATTGATCATTGAAAAAAATTAAGGTGTTTAATATTTTCTATAAAAGTAGAGTGATTTAAATATACGAGTAAAAAGTAATTAAGTTATTAATGTAGCTATGACTTATATAATAATAAAAAGTAACTTTTATGTATAACTATAATTATAGTAGAAAAATGTACAAAACTTAGTTATAAAGTATTTATTCTCTCTTGTTCTTGATTATAATTATAAAAAATTTGTAATAATTATTATTAAATGTTTTAAACAAAATATTTGATGTAATAAAATATTTTAAGATATAAAAATTAAAAGAGCCATGTTATTTGTTATGTTTATAAAAGTTATAAATAATAGGTTGTTAATATAAAATGGCAATTTGTGTTCGAAACTGTTTGACTTCTTGGCTCAAACTGCTAATGTTTCAATAACTTTAATTTATCGCCCACCCTAGCGAATGCTTGGGAACGAGTTAAGTGGAATGGCTGGACAGGAGTGTAGAGATACAGTATGCGTTTTCTTCGAAAATATGGTTTATTTACAGTTACATTATTCTTTGGTTAGATTTATATATTATGGAAGGAAATGCACTATATTCAGTTACGATCTTATAATTACTTATAACAAAGTGAAATAAGTTGAATAAGTTGTCTTCTTGAGATGCTCTTTGAGACGTTCGATTATACACACTCATTAGTGAGAGTAATTTGTGTTATTAATAATAGCGTCATGCTAGTCTTGTAAGGACTGCCAATAATTTAGGTCGCACAAACTTTGTGTACTCATAGTGATGCAGTTGCCTTGATATGATCCTGGGATGAGTACTTTACCATTATTCACGCTCCAAATGACGGAGCATATCTTGGGAGTCTGGCCCTTTCGTGGTATAAAGAAGATAACGTTAAGATCTTTCAACTGTAGCACAGCAGGGTTGATGTATCTTCCTTCTATCGGAGGTTTACTTAAAGCTTGATCACTATTTTATTACCGTTAAGTGAGAGCTCCCTTCTTCCTTGGCTTCTCCACGTAGACAGCGATTGCATCTTAATCGTTCCCAATTTTAAGCCCTCAGACAATCAGTCCTAGATAAGGAACGTCTCTGCCTTAGCGTCTTCTCCAATCAAAGCGCGCTGCTTTCGGTGACACGACTGAGCGTGTGTGCCTCTGTCTTCCGACATCAGAAAGAGCTAAGCTTTGACGGTGACAACATTGACAAGAGTGCCTCTATCGGTAGCCCTCTCAATTAGGAAGCTCTTGAACTTTGCGCCGAGAGGAGCTCCTAACTGAAGAGTCCTTGGAGTGCTCTACTAGCGTTTTCATACATCTGACACTCGAAAGGTTCTCACAATCTCGCTTAACTAGCACCGCCGCACCCTTGTTAGCTGACAACAAAGGGCTGATCATTGCACTAGGAACAATGGAAGTGATTGTGGACGTGTATCGTTTCAAATGTACCGACTTTTGCGAACTTCCAACGACTGTTGAATAATTTTGAAATGATAGCCATTGGGGTTTTTCCCCAAATGATAGTATACAAGAGATTATTTGAATCTCTAACAATATGGATCAATGAATAATTTGTGATTATTAGAAACAAGCAGTGTATTAACAAACATGAAATTGTAATTTAAATAATTATAAAAAATAAATTATTTGTATCAAGTTATTATTAAGATATAACATTTTTATTGTTTCATATATCACTAATAATATTAAATGAAATGGTAAAAAATATATTTAAAAATGTATTTAACTAAGCGCTTACAAAACATTCAAGTCTTTTCAGTAAATTATACATGTCAGAAAAGAATCGATGTTTCTAGTTGTGTATTCCGTGATATTGCACTGCTCATAACTGTGTTTTATACCAATACTAGATGCATTATTTATTTGGTACATGATGTAACTTAGCATTTGAAAATTAAATATTATTTTTATTAATATAAAAATAGTAAACCGTGTAATGCAAAACGCACTCATATTTTGTATTTTATTTTGTTTTTTTTTTTTATGAACTTAGTTGGTATATAAAAATAATTTTATTTTTCTCGTCTACTGTTTGGTCAAAAATAATTTTATTTATTTATTTGTGATATAATTACTGTCTTAATTGAATTAATTAACTATAAAATTTTAACTGGTCCTTACTTAAAAATTTAATACATTTTTCTATTTTTTATGTAAAGATGAATACACTTTAAATGAAAAAAATTAATTTATATATATTATTAATTAGCATTTAAAACAAATATTTTTCAATATTATTTTTTATTGTTTTAAATAAATTATTGTTACATGTTTATAAAATAATCTACATCATTTTTTAAACTATTTTCATATTCAATAGTAAAATAGATAAACAAAATCAAATTATTAAGTTTGTGTAACCAATTTATGGCTTTTTTATATTATAAGTATCTTTTATAACATAATTAAATTATTAATATTTTTCAGCGCTTCAAAAATCTAATTCAGAATCTTCATCACAAAAACCATGGCTAGGTTTGGATCATGTGAACAAAGCTCCAAAACGTTCTCGGATTAATTACCTCGAAAAGGCTATTAAAATTTATAATTAAATAATTATCCATATTTAGAATCAGCCATGTACAGCATTTCATGAAACTTAATAAATAATAACTAATAATATCATGTTTACGCAATAACTTTAATTTAATTTCTACTGTAAACCAAAAATATAGAAGATATTAAATGGGCTCTAGCTAATATGATTACCAATTTTCTTCTTTATTACACATATATTTCAAGTAAAGAATTTGACGTACAAAATATAATGCGAGCATTTTAGTTTGCACTGTTTAATGAGTACATACATAAATAATTAAATTAAATTGCTATCTAATACTGTAAAGTCAGTGAATTTGGTAACTGCAGGAGAAAATACGTACATTATTTTTTAATTTTTGCTTCAAAATTGATAATGTTATATATACACATATATTTTCTTGAGCAAAGGTAAGGTACTTATTTATATCAATAATTTAAAAAAAAGTATATATGAGAGTATATGTAAAGGAGGCAAAAATTAACATAGAAATGTTACATCTCAAAAAATAAAAAATATTAATTATATTAATATTTATATTAATTTTTTATTAATCTTGTTTGTATATAAGATAATAAAAGATAACATGAATATAAAATCTTTTCTAATGTATGTAAGAAAATATTGCATAATATTATGTTTGTATTAATACAATAATAAAGTGAGACCAAAAATTATTATGAAAAATAATGAAAATATATTATATAAACAAACTAAAAATATACAAGTGAGTGAATTAGATTGAATTACGACTTATGATGTAAGTAAAATTAATAAAACAGGAGTAAACAAAAAACGAAAATCAATATTATCATGAGTATTGATTAAGTTGTATGATTATAGATTTATGTGTTGCATTAAGTTCATGATTTGATAACAAAAACTACTAGAATTTTCTATACACATAATTGGATTTTGAATATATATGTTCGATATAATATCAACTATTCAGTTTTAAATAATATATATACATATCATATTATGATAAACTATGATAGATATTCAAATTTTTATTTTGCATATATTGATTTTTATTATGTACATAGTATATAAAATCAATTATCGTAAAAGATGAAAAATGCAAAAAGATCTTTTTACATTTAGCAAAAACGTGTTTAATAAGAAAACTAATACTATATTTTATCGACGGTCAGAACCAAAAATAGAATAGACTAAATGATAAATATTAACAAAATTTTTTAACCGTTTTAGACTACGTACAAAGAAATCTTCATTTTTAATGCAAAGAATATAGAGAAATAACAGACTATTACCTATTACCTGTGTTCTTAATAATCTTTTAATTGAATTATATGCGTCATTTACTTTTAATACCTTCTAATAATTTGCAATGAAATTGAAAATCTGATAATTTTTTCTTTTTCGCAGTTAATTATAATTATTTTAACATATTACTAAATCACTTGATAAATTTGAAAATATATTAAATTGCAGTCAATAGTGATGTAAATAATTATTATTTTTGTCAAATTAGTTGTTTATTTTTATTTTGGATTTTATAATAAACGATTTATACTTAATTAAATATTAAATACGTATTCCATTATATATAATAGAATACATGTTTTATTTAAAAAAAAATGATTATAAAATAAAAATAAAATATATCTAGAACATAATTTTCTATATCGTATTATAATATTGCTTATTACTTTAATAATTTTTACACTTCTATTTTCGTTTATAGTTTTTTTATTTGTGGCATTTGTAACATCAGGCGTTAAAATTTTTATTGTTAGATATAATAAAATAAGTTTTATGCCGTGTATATTATAATAATAATTTTATAAAACTTTACTATTAGTAAGTAGTTATTATATACAGATATATTGTCCACTATAGATACATAGATTTAATGTTTATAAAGCCCACTACAAAGAATAACAGAAAGATTGTATATATTGTAACAAACCAGCTTTTAAATGAAATAACTATTTAGTTTATAAAAAAATTTTTATGTAAATGTATTTCACAAATAATATTATTCAAAATGTATAAAATTCTGCACAATAACATTAAACTTAATTCGAAACATATTAATCGACACGAACAAAAATTTATATATGCTACGATAAGCTTACCTATGTGCATTATTATCCAGAGTAAAATAATATGTACATAGTATTTTATACGACTAATCGACCATGTTAAATTAAAATATTAACCCTATAATTATGTAAATTTACCGTGTTATATCAACTAGAAATAATCTATTTCTCATATTTGAGATCCATTATTCTACTTATACATTTTATATTACGAGTATATACTGTAAATCTTTAAACACTTGTTATCTATGTTATTCATCAAGGACAAATTAAAACTAGAATATACTTGGAAATTTTTGTTTAATTGCTTAAAGACGTCTTTCGTATCCAAGTATACTTGCCTAATTTATTGTATTAATAAGTGTACCCACCTAAAGTGTGTTAGATTAATTGTTATTGCAACCGTCGGCAGAGTAATAAATTCGAGTAACAAAACATATATTGGCTCTGTGATATAATTTGTGATGACAAAATTCGATATAACTTCATACAAATCTGCTAGTTTTGTGTAGTTTTATTATAAAAATTAATGTGTTATTTCGAATTTAATCGCGTAGATTTGATTAAAATTAATAATTTATACACATTTTCTTTTTGGTAAAGTAAAAGCTATAAAGATAGTTTATTTTAATTATGAAATGCAGCAATAAGATAAAATATTTGTAAATTCCAATGAAAATATAATAGTCGAATATTGTAAATATTTAGACGATAAAAATTCAGTGTTAAAGTAGAAAACTGTTTTGTTGACAATTACATATGAAATTGAGATTAAAATTAATATATAAAAAACAAATCTATATTGTAATAATTAAAATATTTTTCTCTACATTTTTTATTATAATAATGTAGCAACTTATAAAAATTATAATACAATATGAAAAATATAAGTAATCTATTTTTATATTTTTTTTGTATTAAAAACTCAAGTTTTATTTTTATATGCTAATTTCTTTTAGGAAAATCTTTACCATGTGCTATAACCGCATGTGTATGCGCGTGCGCGTGTGTTTATGCAGAGAGAAAAAAGATAGAATCAACACATAAGTTTAACGATGGATGAACTTTATGATAAGTCCTCGTATCAAACGCATTTATACTATTACGTTTTGTGATCATCTTCCATTTATTTTATAAGATTTGCAGTAGGTTAATAATAAACTTTTTTAGTGATCGTAGATAACAATATTCATGTATATTAGAACATTTTCAATATTTGAAGCAGCCGCGATCCAGTTGTTTGTCTCACTTTTTGTCTTCTATTTTTAATTACTAATTAGTAGTATTGGTTTGTATATTATTATTACATGTATTATTACAGTAATTATAGGCTTTCCATACATCTTTAAAAGTTGTTCTTATAAAAGTATTTTTATGTTTTTTTTTATTTTTCAATTCATATTATGTACATATATGTTATTTTTAATTTTTATTTCACGGTCCTTAGATGCTCAAATAGAATGCACATGCGCACTGCAGGAATAGTATGTTTGGATGTTTATGCATATATATAGATATATATGCGTATATATATTGAGCAGTCGTCAAGTAAATAGTCTTATGTATCAATATTTTTTTCAATTTATATATTTTATGGAGACATTGTTGCACATAATTTTTTTAAATCTTACAAAATAAAAATTTTTTTTAAATCCAGTTTTTTTCATTTACGTAATTAATTTCATCTGAACGATAAATTTAATACTTTCTATTGCTGTATATATTAAAGCAAAAAAATTAGTATTGTAACTAAACAGCAAGAAAATTAATTATAGCATTTTAGATTTAGAAATAACGTAAAATGACTTTAACAATGAATATCTGAGTTCATTTGTAGAGTGTCAATCATAAAAAATATATTAATGAATACAATTAAATTAACCTTTTAATATAAGTAATAATAATAGTACAAATACAAATAAATAAAAAATTTAAAAGGTAAGCATTCAGTTTGATACAGAGAGATTGACTATAAACTTTTAGACTATATAATTTAAATCTAATTATGTGCTTATTATTTTTTAAAATATTATTTATATCTATATTCAATATTGCTCCATTCAAAGAGAAATTTAAGAATTTTGTATATAATTCTCTTGTAAATTTAGTTTGAATGTTCTACGTAAATCATTATATTTAAAATATACTCTTGATAGGAAGTAAAATCTAAATTAATTTTGTCATGTAATTTACTTTATTTGCTTAATATGAATTTTACTTATAAATTTAAACACGCGTTACTTAAAAATACATAATCTCATACAATTTTTTTTAACATATTTAATATTTGTCATCATAACTGACTTAAAAAATAGTACTTTAAAGTTCTTTATATTTATATACATATATTACATGTTTAATATGATTTCAATTTAGAATATGTTGATCTACAATCTATTGAAATTATTCAAACTTGCATATAATTAGTAATATTATTTATTGAGATTTATATAAATAAAAAATTCGAAATCATAATATATCAGATATTATAAAAAAGTATCATATATATAATTAATATATAATTAATATTTAAGAACAATTAATAAATTATTAACTAAGGTTCAGGTTAACAATGGCTTAGATATATTTAACAAATAAATCATTGTTTGAAATTATTGTTTATATAAAAATAAAAAACTAAAAAATTATTTTTAAACAATTAACTTTTTATTTAATTCTTTTATATCTGATGTTTGTATTCTGATAAAACCATTGAGCCTTCTCTTAAGTATTGAACCTCTTAAGTATACATATATATATGCATGTATCTTATATATACATATATAAGAATTCTATTTTATAGATTAAAAAATAATTTCAAAATGAAATGGTATATGTAATATTATAATATATTACATAAATCTTATACAGCTTCTTCCCATATCAGAATTCTTTACATAAAATTTGTTTTTCATTTATAAATAACATTTGATCGGTTATAAATAACTGATCTATCTTATATATATTTGTTTATAAGCCATTTTTTAAATATTAGCTTATGTTTCAATTATTTTTTTAATTAGTTTTGTTAAATATTAAATAGCTTACAATTTTATTCAATTTTATTTTTAATATTGTATTCTGACATATATTAAGTCTTATTTAAAATTGTTTATAGATTTACGAGTAAATTTTTTTTTGATAAATTATATATAGAATTTTTTACTATTAATATATCACTAATATATTACTTATTTTAAATTTAATTTCATACTAATAAAAATATCCTTACTTTTCAATCATATTCAAATGGTTATTTATATAAAGTTATATATTGTTTGAGAATAAATGACAAAATAATTTATATTCAGAATAATACGTTAGTATCAATACACAAATATATCGGTATGTTTTAAATGTAATTTTCTGTTTAATTATATTTTATTAATTTTTATTCAGATTATCTAAAAATTTATTAAAGTAATGCAGTCAATGTTGAAGCACGAAAAACTATTACCTACTCAAGGATTAAAACAGGTGAAAGTTGACAATTGGGGTACATTCTTTTTACAACGATTATTACAGTTATATTTCAATGAAGAATTATTAGATTTGAATATCAAGTTTCATTCAAGCAATAATGTATTGAAGGTAAATACAAACCATAATTTACATATATTAAAAATTTTATATTTCATGAAAATCTGAATTTCTGATTATTAAAATAAGAAAAATGAATTTCTGATTATTAAAATTTTTTAATTTTTCATGAATTTTGATTGCATAGAGTCATTTATTTTTTAAATTATTTTTTATCAAGTGAAAAATATTAATGAAAAGAATTAGACAATCCTATGCTATGCTTGTTTAAAATTTTTTTTATTTGTTTTCTACCTGTATAGATGTTATCTGTACTTTCAACAAAATATTTAAAACCACATTGTGACATATTGGTTTTCCGTATTATCATTATAATTTAAAAAAATATATTAAATTTTATTTTTTTTAATTTGCTGGGATGAAAATTTCGTTCTAATGAAAATCACTAATACGTGATGATGGTATTGAAAGATATTAGACTCTTTTTCGAAGTATATATAAATTGTAACTCGAAATAAAAATTAATTTATTTAAAGAATTATAAAGACAAAAAATTATGAATTGACTGATATTAATCATTAACATAACGTGAAAATGAAATATCCATAATTATATCAGCTGACTTGTGTAATGACAAAATATAGAGGAAGTAATTTTTATAATTACTTATAATCTGAATGTAGTATTTAAAGCAAAATTCAGGTAAGTATAGAAAGATAATTATAATTCCTTTATTTAAATAGTATTATTTTAATATAGTCTCAAGATGTTGATGGTTATAGTTGCTGAAATATGTTTTATTAATACACACTTTTATGATTCCAAGAAAATAAGAAATTGTAATAAGTATATAATGGATATTGTTTTATCATAAAATCGAGTTTTTTTTCTTGAAAAAAAAATAATACATTTTTTAATTTGTGCTTTTTTCACTTACACCTAACATAATTATTTTGGCCTTGTCTTACTATTACAACACATACACACCTTGTGCTACTACTACAAGTCTTACTACTTACTATAGCAAATCATGATGTGATACGTGTATATTTTGCACAGGAGTTACATTAATACTAGCTGTATAAACTATTTCAACTCCATTCAACAAAACATTAAATGTATAATTTAAATATATTAGTACATTATCTTTTAAAATAAAGCAGAATATTTAAACAAATAAACTGTTTTTATTGAAACAATATAGTGTTAAATAAATGTGATTCAAAAATATACATTTATGATCTGATTGATATAAGGACAGCTTTCATAGCATCTACTGACATAAATTTTCTTGGAATAATCAAGTTTTGTTTCTGAAACTTCTAACTCATTGTTTATAAACAACATGTCTTCATGTTGGGGTTCTGAACTTGATTATTTTAAGCCATGACAAATCATTTATCTGAAAACTGAAATAAATAAATTGTGAAACTATAATCAAAAAATTCCGACAAATGATAATTCAAGAATAAATTGAAAAAACGAAAATAAAGTTTTTAAATTTAACCGTCATTGTATGCCTTTAATGAATGCTATAAATTGTATAAATGTGTACTGCAGAGATTTTATATATAATTAATTTTGAAACATATTGCATGAAGATAATTGATACGTTTAAATATTTTGGAATAAATTTTGGTATGTGTTCGAGATTGCGAGGCCCTTTTTCAATGCAATATAACATCTGGCAAAACAGCAGCGTCAAATTTGTGTTTAGAATTAAAAACTTTCTTGCTCGCAACCATCTAGCAATAGTTGCCACCGGAAACATTAATCCACCCCAAGAGTTATTTCAATAATTAATAGTAATACTAGCCAATCTTGTCATCAATAAATAACAGTATAAACAGCATATACATCAGTCATATTTATATTGTATTATTATACTATCCCTTCCACTTGTGACCATTCATCGCTACCACACAATACCCGTGGTCTCTGAGTTGTCAACGGTATCAATTTGTATCCTTTGAACGAGCCTTGGTAAAACAAACCGGAACGGTGAACACATTTTGTACAGTATGAATTATTCCAGATATATTACGAATTTATAACAAATCGATGAAAACTTATTACAATAAGAAATTCGGATAGATGATTTAACCCAATAGCGCTCGTAGAAAGATTATAAATTCTTCGTTAATTAGATATTAGAAAAGTAAAATCTAGGATTACAAGAAACATATTAGTATTAAAGCTACAAAAATTCGCCACCTTATGACTTAGAAAATAAAATTTTCAAAGATATATTTTATAAGATTTATTTATAAGATTTCTTTTTCTACTTCGAAATAATTCAACACGCTGTATACGAAAAAGGTTAAATAATTAAATAAAATACTTTGTACATGTAATTGACATCAAAATATATTTTATAAAATATTCTGCGGATCCTAATACTTAAAAATGATATAAATTACGAATAATAAAAAAAATTTTATTTTAAAATACACTGTATACATTTATATACTTTTATTATAATAAACAAATATTAATATGAAATGTCTTATAAAAAAGATTTTAAATATAAATTGCACATTTTAGAGATTATTTTTCAGTTTAATATAATTAAAATTGTTATTAAATAATTACATAACATCAACAAATTTTTTACCTCTTATAAGGTGAAAAAACTACCATGTACGTAAAATTTTATTAAATTTTTAAGAAAGATAATAAATACCATCATGGTTACCCAATATTTATCTGTAAAATTAATATTGCGATTTGCAAGAACTCATACACTTTAATAAATGACAAAACTGCTGTTTTCAAAAATATATTTGTAGAATTAAATAGCTAAATTGATTTTTGTAAAAATTCAAAGCCCCTACTGAACTACTGACAATAACATATAGCAATAAATAATCTTCAACGAGTATAATATATATAATTAAATAAATTCAATTTCTTGTAAAGAGCTAAGAATAAGTTATATGCATTAAAGACAAGAAATGAATAAAATTTTATTCTTTGCAATTTTTAAGGTTTTTCTCTCCTTTATTTCATGTTTCAATTCTGTGACTAAATGATATTGTAGCATATAACCATTTCATAGCAATCGTTTGAATTATTTTATAAATACTTTAAATATTTTTACTAATATAATAGTTTTTATATTACAAGTCATATTTTTTACAAAATCTAATGTTTGATTTAAGATTTGATACATGTCATAAATAACTGTCTAAATGTAAATATATAAAAATATTTTCACGATTTTTATGCATATTAACTTATATATGTATACGTGTTCAGAATTGGAGGACTTTCCAAGAAAATTAATTCTCCGAAATTTGGAATCATTCTAGCTCACGAAATCATAAACATTGACTTCGAAATTTTTCAATCTATCTAAAGTCTTTGTTGGCGAACGTTTTGTAATGTTTATCTATTTTCTGCATAGCAACTACCGTAGAATTTTCCAACTTTCTAAAGCTTGCTTCCTTACAATTCTCGATTGTTCTAGAGCTTGGACTCGCATATGTCACGCAAGAATTTTCGGTACAGCAACACCTAGGCATTGTAGCCAGATAATGAAACTCGCTCGAATATTTAAAGCAAGCACACGTCGAAGCTCGTGTATTTTTGCTTGAGTCAACTAAGAGGAGACACGCTGAACTGCAAGAGGTCACCACTCTCGCGTTACTGTTCTTCAAATCTATTCTCCGGATGAGGTGCTGCACCATCTGTAAACGGAGCTGTTCTCCGGACGAGACGCTGCATCTTCTGTAAGATGTCATTGTAATCGGTGTTGTACTCCGAATTGAGGAGACAACGCCTACGCATCTCGAAAAGGGCCATAATACTGCCATGATACACTGAGGTATTTGTGTGAGGTATCATTATATTTGTCATCAAGACGAGATTCGTACCTAAAGTACCATACGTGGCACTATACAAAGAGTGCCAAGGATTTACGCCCTTACATCTCTCAGTATAGTAATTTTCATCAAGCGCAATACACGAAGAGGATCTGGAGATTTACAACTTCCAACCTCGATTATTTCCACATAAAAAACCACTAAGGAGCGGTAAAGTATCAACGATTCTCACGACCACCGTAGAATCATAATTGTGTGTTTGTAATTAAAAACTCAATAAATAGCACGAAAAATATGTTGATTACTGAATTAACCTTTCAACAGCATTAACCTCTCAGTTATTCACACTGTTCCACCCGTAAAATGGTGGATATTGTCTAATCCAATCATCTTGGTCTTTCGACCACTGGGTGACTTGAATTCCGTACATATACGTCTTATATGTAATATATTATATAAATTTATCTAGTCATTGAAAAATTCAAAATAACTATTGCAAAAAATGATTTTAATAAAAAATAAAAAATCATGCAATTAGTCCATTATTTATTGTAATATTTAATGTAATATTAAAAAGAATTTTCGACAATATGTTTCAAATGCGGAAGTGAACTTGATTAAGTAATAAATTAGTTTGAATTTTGTCAATGTAATTTTTTATGTATAAATTAAATTAATAGTAAAATTAAAATTAATCACAATTTTCATATATATTTTAATAAATAATATAAAATGCATTAATGAGAACATATTGTATCATTCCATAGCCATTATCCCGACATGTTAATTTATTTTACTCTTCATAACACGAACAGATAATTTTAACTTCTTTCTCTTGTATTTATCCTATAGAAAAAATTGTTTGAAAAGAGTAAGGAAAAGCTAAAATATAAATATATGTTCAATTGCAATGTACGATAGTACTTGGTAGTGAAAAAAATATATAATTTTATTATTTATTAAAATAAAAAATGCTTAATGAAAAGTATATCTAAATGTATCGTAGAATTTTTATTATTATGGTTTAATTGATGATTAATTCTTAATCTTTCTATTTATATGAACATATATTTAAAGTTATAATTTGTCTTTAAATATTTTAATTGATATTTATTATTTAGGTGCATAGATTAGTTGTTACTACATGTACTGATTATTTTATTCAACTTGAACGTGAACAGAATAAGAATAATTCTAATAATGACGTTATTATTATGCCATCGGATATGCCTTTTGAATGTGTTAAATCTATTGTAAGGTAATTATGTATAATAATATTTTACGTGTAATATTTTAAAGAATGTATAATTACAATTTGCATTATATTTGAAAAAAAATGGATCATTTTAATGACATTTTTTCAAGTCATATTTTTATATGCTATTATATATATCCAATAAATAATAGCTAAATGTTATAATTTTCAATAATCTAAATAAATATATAGTATTAGTTTTTAATGTATTTATTTTTAACAATATAATTAGCTCTATTTTATTTTTATTTTTATACTCGTATGAATAAAGTAATTGTATTATATTGATTGACAATGTATACATGTACATAAATTAATTTATTCAAATAATTTAAAATAGGCAAAGTAAACATATTGAAATAATGAATATATCGTTCATATTGAAATAAATATTAGCTCATCTAATTATAAAGTTCTGTGTAACTGTATCTTATAGTATTTTAAAATAAATATGGAATATTTTATGCATGTTAATATAAACTTCGTATTAATTATATTCAATATTATTTTATCTGAAAATACAATCAAACCACTAAAATAAATTATTTGCTGTTGAAATCAAAGCATTGAATGAATTTTAATTCTCAAATAAGCAATTGTTAATAATGGTTAATTAAAAATTAATTTTATGGTGATAGATATTCTTTCTAAAAACATTTTTAAAAGAAACTGTAGAATTGACTAACAGTATGTACTAGCATTTGTACAGTTATTGTTAAAAGGTATTTTGTCCAGAGTTTTCTAATATTTCTATTTATTTATGGTAATTCTCTTCAAATATTATTCTACTAATTTAATTATTATCAGAGGAATATATTATAATTTCATGCATTATATTCCAAATAATATCGATATTTAATTTATTAAAAATTATATATTGTATTTGTATTGCGTGTAGTTTCTCTTCGTATGTTAGTAAAGTTTTTATTAGTAAATTAATATTCACTTTTATTAAAAAATCATTTATGCTTTATTCAAATTCGTTGATTCTTTCTTTCGTTGTTGACTTGTTCGTTTTAGAAATTTTTTATCCAAAATAGCTGTCAGTCATTGCATACTAAACATCTTTAGCATTTTTCGACTCTTGCCACACGTGTATATATTAGTATTTTACTTCAACATATTCGAGACAATTAGCTCATTATTTCTTCTAACAAATTACTGATATATCAATCTTTTTTCAATTTGTAGTCGTCATTCTAGCTATCCGATTCACTGGTTTCTTGTTTCCTATCAATTTTATATTTACTTTTATTATTTTTTTTACTTATATATATATATAGTACAACGTAGTCTGTATGGTTAAAACAGTATTTCAACGTTTTACACACTTTGGTCATATATCGTATTGATTTTACTCATTAGAATTCAATTTAAAAATACAATGTTACTATCAATTGAATGATGATAAAATAAATTGTAAAGTTTTAGCATGTGAAAATAAAAATAAAGAACAATTCTTTTCCATATATAACGTAGTGGATTTATTATAAAAATATACAGCTTTAAGGAATGCGTATTGCTAGCTAATGGTTCATTACGCGAAAGTGAGAAAAAAACTCATAACATAGAGGAAACTTCGGAACACTTTGTAACCATAATTTATTGGAGCGATATTAAATGTATATCATGATTCCAAAATTTCATGCTAGTTAGTACTGCACTGTCTCTGATTATATCTTTGAGTACAATTTGTTATTAATCAATGGATTAATTGATTCTAAAGAAATTATTTCTCAAATATATACAAATAGAAATTTCATATACTCTATTAATATTTGTCCACGTCATTTTCTCAATCTTTAGCTATTTTGCATTTGTACGTATATTGTTATGCAATTTTTATACATTTTCCCTGTGTTTTACTTGAATTATTATATAATATTATAGATGTTCCTTACTGACAGGTATCGTATATTATAATAAAATTAATAATAATTAGCTTTTTATTTTATGTTTGTAAATTATGTGTATATATTCCCTACATGTTTTTTTATTTAATGTAAATATATGTATACTTATTTTATGAATATTTTTTATATGCATATTATACTTTATCAAGCTTTTGCGAAACTCATGTATCTTTTGTTTCATAAATTCATTTTTTTTATTATCTATTCTTAGATATGTATATAATACTGAACTCAGTATTGATAAGTACAAATATAACATACTAAAGTAATGCCAATAAAAATGATAACAGAAGTGATTTTAATTTTTTTATATAATATCAATTTCAATATCGATTATTGTTATATTATTAGTATTATGTTTGATTAAATTATTCTTTTATGTTCAACATAAATTAGTATTAGTACTTGTCTGTTTTCAATGAGCGCATAATTATATATCAATATTATAATAATATTTGAAATAAGTATATAAATTCATATTTTTTTATTTAAACATTTTAGGTATTTGTTAGTGTTTGCAAAATGTTTAAATATATTGCTTCCTAATTGTTTATACACAGCTGCACCGATGGAATTACATTTAATTCATTATAATTCTCACCTATGCACCTTAATTTAATTAGATAATTCAATACAATTATTGTATTTTCAGAATGATTTTCTACCCTGTTCTGTCAATTCTTACATTATAAAATTATATTTAATAAAACCAAAAAAACCTTACTTTTCAAAATTTAATAATTATCATTAATACTTTATAAATTTGGAAATGCCTAATTTTATACAATATTAAATATTTGAATGTATCTTATATATTTTTTAGAATCTTTTCCACTTATCCTTTTACAATTTATGCTTTAATTAAAATTAACATTACATTTAAGTATTACATTTCTATTATTTAATTATAAAATATAAGACCTATATGTACTAAATTGTTTTATTTTCAAGAATTTACCATCTGTTCTTGATTTGTTTTTACATGATTAGACTTATTCATACATATTGATTAGTTTTTGATTTGTTCACCTGTTATTAAAATATTTTGTATAAGTATCTATTATTATTATTATTATAACATATATAATATAGAATTATGTCTAAAAATAGAGTACCGGCGAGGAGGGCCAAATATCTAAAGTTAGGTGTAAACTTCCAGATGGTTGACGAAGGATTGTGGACAAATTGACAGGATAGTGAATGTATTCTATAATAAATAGTTATTTGTAGTTTAATTTAATATTAATTTGTAGTTTATTATAATTGCATTAGTTGTATTATAATGATTTTTAGTTGATGTTTGAATATCTTCGTTTTTTGAGTGTTGTATTGCTTTTGTCACAGCGGTAATGTGCGTTGCATATATAGGTAGAAGATCGTAACCTTCTGGTCCTCTATATGTAATGCACGTGGCGGTGGAGTTATACACATAGAAAAACGGTGTAAACCCCCGCGCTTCCTTGTGTAGTGGCACATAGCAGTAGCTTGAGTTTACCTTGTTATTGTCTTATTGCTTACTTTGTAGGCTCTGCAGGTGAGCTCTTGGTGGCACTTCATCTTAGTCTGCAGATAGTGCCGCGTACGGATCTTCGTAAGTCTATCTTGTAGGAACTAAACTTGCGCCTTATACGTTTGCAGATTGTGTACTGTCTGGGATCAGATTAAAGACTTCCCTGAGATGATGAAGGGAGGCTTGCTGGCAAGTGGAATGGACAATGCAATAATTCAATACTGCCTTTGTATGAGTTGATTTTACTTTTATTGAATATAATGATATAATAAATAATCAGTGGTCTATTGAGGTGAGATTGAATGAATGATACAATGAATAAGTGAGAGTTTCTTCAAGTAGTATGAGTGATAATAATCTTGTAAGTGTATTCTTGATGTGACGCGTAATTATCCTACTCGTGGTTAGGACTCGTAGTGGTAGTGGGGGATGCGCTGATGATGCCGCCGTTGCCCCTACCGATAAGCTGGAGAGGCCTGAGTGGTGCTGGTATGACGTTAATGGTGAGGAGAATTGATGCTGCTACCGATAAGCTGGAGAGGCCTGTGTGGGGCGCTGGTGCGTGACGTCACTGTTGAGGAGAATTGATGCCGCCGTGGTGGTGTTGATGTGTGACGTCACTGGTGAGGAGAATTGATGATGCCGTGGTCTAGGTATTGCTGCTTACTTAACTAACAGAGCCGTGTGTTAGTGATTCGTAAGAAGGTGTGTAATAGCGCAGCTTACGTGTGGAGTCTCTCATCTCAGTGCATTGATGGCACGTAAGAATATGTGTAATAGCGTGACTTACGTGCAGTGAGGTCGATCTGTGTGGTATTAGTAAGCTAAATGTGTATAACTTACGTGTTAGTTGGAGACAATCTGTGTGTATGGAGGTGATTTCTGTGTAAGTGGTGTTGACTTGTAGGACGGCGATCCGATCTTGATGACTGCTTGATTCAACTAGTAAGAGGACGAGAGAGTCAAGTGCAGCTCCTTAAATATTCTCGTGCGAATTTGCTGCGCCGATAGCGCATCGGTGGCTGTTGCTATGCCGATATTTGTCGTGACGTCAACAGGGCATAGCCTTGTAGGGTGCATATGTTATTACTTTTCGGAATTATAGTCGTATATTCGAGTTTTTTGGTTAGAAGCATTCTTCGAGTCCGTTAGCCATTGATTTACAAAACAAATGTTCGCGCGCTCATACCTCTCTCACTTTTATTCCGCTTAAAAATGCTGCAATCCGTAACATGTACGTTTGGTTGCTTTACAGTTCTTTCTCTTGTGAGGCATATTGTGTATTATTATCATTAATAAGGGATGGAACTTTACCTTGTGAGTACTGCAGATTTTGTGCTCTTGATGACAGCTAATGATATCTGCAGACTTTGCCTCATGCGAGAGATTGTAGTTTATGTTTTGTGTTTTGCTGGCTATACCTCGTAATGTTTGCTGAATTTTCCTCGAGCAACTTCTTATAGGTTATGATTATGTTGTGCTCTGTGCACCACTGTTTTCTCGTTCCCTTTCCTTTTCTTGCACTGTGGCGAGTGTATGATTTGATTTGCACTTATCTTACACTTGTTATGAATTGAATATGACTAGGCTTTGCCTCTTAATTGGCCTTTACTGTGTATGTCTACATCCTTATTCTTTGGCGTTCCTTTGGAGAAGAAGCCTTGCCGGATTTTCGTGTGAGAATAAGCTGTTGGGAGTTGCCGGCGTCTTTCTTAAAAGCATTCTCAGCCACCGCGTGGATTTTACAAATTGCCTCCTTGGCGTTTTTAATTAGAATGCCTCTTTCTGAGCGTCTCCAATCGAATTGATACTTTCATTATTGGCGACTCCAATCAGAGCGCTTCTTACTTGCATCCCCACCATGAGGGGGACTTCTTTGGCGCGTTCTCGCTTCACTATCTGAGCCACATGTAGCTGGGTTTGACAACAGTATGCATGCAGTGTTGCCTTTAATATCCCTTTTTCGGATGTCAAACGACGTGGCTTTTTGCTTATATTTTTATTACTTGTTTTTCACAGCATTGAATGACATGTTTTTGCCAGATGCTTAACGATTTGATTTTTTGGATCTCTAATAGCTAATTTTCCAGATGTCTAATGACTTGGAAAATTTTTTACATTCTGGAACAAATTGGAATCTTTACGTGGAAACCATTACGTTTCTTTATAAAAATAAATATGCATATATATTAAAGTAATTGTGTAATATGTTAACATTTAAATTATTTTAATTTAGATTAATTTAGATGTATTTTCTATATTTCAGTTTTATGTATACTGGGCAACTTGAATATTGGAGTTCTGAGCAGAATGCGTTATATCGTACAGCACAAAAAATGAATATGTCAGTACTTATAAAATTATTAGATACACAGATAACTAATAATATTCTAGAAAATAATTCCGAACAAAAAGATTTTAATAAATCAACTACTTCAGTCTCGGAATTAATTCCAAATAGAAAACTGAATACAATTTCACCTACCCAATCTCTTCCGGGAAAAAAGTAAGGAAATATAATTTAATGATTTAAACTGATATTACGATTTATACATTTTAAAAAGTAACAAAATTTATTCTAAATTTATATTTAATATAAAATATAATAATAATGTCGTCATTTCTACGGTCACAAGTTAGAAAATACGCAAAATATACATTTTATTTTATGGAATAAGAAAGTTTATGTTATGATTAATTGCCAGACATATTTTCGTATTTAAAATTAATGTTTGTAGTAAAGAAAACTTAATGACTAATATTATTGATGGTAAACTCGAAATTCACAATTGTACTAATGAAATATATACATGATTTAATTATGTAGGTATAAAACTTATTAAGCAGTAGCAGCTGACTAATAATATAATAAATACATGATATAATATAGAAAAAATAAGTACACTAAAGTGTTCGTCAATTTATATTAATAATTTCCTTTCTAGATATTATAAAAACTAGTCAATGAAAAAGCATTAATTAAAATAATAGCAGATGGGTCTTATATTAAAAATAAAAATTATTTCTAAAAAAATTGTATATTTACTGTAATTATAGAAGAGTAATTTAAGAAATACTTGTAGACTACTTCATACTGAGTATAAATTAAACAACATAATGTATGTATTTTTTGAGGGATTAGGAAAATGTAATTTTTGTGATATAATAATTTTATATTCAGAAGTATGCCCCACCATTTGTAGACTATGCAAAATATAGTTGTCTTTTCAGCATTTCGAATACTTTTTTGGCCATGATCATTGTGTGATTATTAATATATTAATTCTATCATTGCTGTGTAAAAATTATAAATATGAAAATAATCAGTGGATGAAAATGTGTATGAGATATATGAGATCTCGTAATTTCCTTATCATTCAGTCACATATACTCTTGCTCAATTTTCATTCAGGGGTATTTATCAATTATTAATTAATTTGTTCATTTAAATAGTTAATGCATAATTTACGAAACAATGCTACGCGTTAATTTGAATTATTCAGTCTCTCAGGAATTCAAACATTCACACTTACGCAATATTGGTAACATTAGCTGTTACTATTACTTTTTATTAAGAGTGGTATACTTAATTATCAAATTAATTCTAACAAAATCAATATTATAAATAAGAAAATTTTATAAAATGTAATCGAAATTATAGAAAATAAAAGAACTTTATCGTAACTTGAGGAAAATAATACAAATGAACCATTGATAATGTACTAAATTTTTTATTTAACTAAATATTGATCAAAATTTTTTCATCATCATGAATCATCAACTACTTCTTTCAGTTGTCCAAGTATATTACGACATACTACGACGTATGTTTTGGTTACAGTATAATAGCATACAAATGTTATAATTTGTTTCAGTATATTATTTTATCATTTTTAAGTAGCAATGGATATATGTTCTCAATCTATTATAAATACACTAAAAATAATAAATAAATTGTTGTTTGTTGAATGTTTGTTATATATCCTAAACTACATTATGTGAAACAATTAAAAGTATATTTTCACATGTGCTTATTGTTAAATAGTCTTTTTTTTTAATATATATGTATTCTTTAAAATATTTATCTAATGCCATATATTTTGATTATAAAATTGTTTTTATATTACCCAACTATTATTTCAATTCTTTTCATTTATTCAAATAGCAATTGACCTTTTTGTTTACGTATGTTAGATCTTAATTAAATTAAATTCTTATTAAATAAGTAAATTTGGAAGAATTGTTAGGACAAACTATTTTTTTAATTATAATGAGATGTCAATTAATTTAAATACCGTTTTGTAAATTATCAGTATATATAAAATTGTACACATACTTTTAAAGTACAAAAATTGAATAAAAAAAAATTTATAATTAATATTTTTTTCATTTATATAAAATTTGCTAGTAAGAATTTACTTTGAAAATAATTGTTTAGGTTGGTTTAGTTAAATAGCTTATTAAATTTTATACATATTGTTTATACATAAATGCTAATATAACAAAAAAATAAATTCTTTAAAAATTTTTCTTACAATGAACTTCATAAAATAAGAAATAGCTTTAATTGTAAGATATATTAAGTATGTTTCAATTCTTTCCGTAAAAATTTTTATAATTTTCTTTTTTTTTTAAATCAGTATTTTTCCTAAATCCCTTAAAAGTCAGCAACTAAATTAAAATAGTTATGCGGTGCTCTATGTATTAATTTTTTTATTTTCAAATAGTCTTATATTTATAGCATTTCCACTGAATTGGATAAATAAGATGCATCTGACAAAATCTGCCTTAAGTCTTAATAAAAAATCCATAATCCATTATATTTAATTATGTATGATATTGTATTATATACACAGATATTGCATTAAGTTTAATACATATCTAATGTTTTGTATGTATATGTTATTTACAGATTACCTGTTTGGAAACGAAAACTTGATACTGAAACTACAATGATAGTCACTAAGCATACATTACCTTCATATAATTCAGAAAGTGGACGATATTCATTTGAAAATAATTGCGGTCCGTCACGTTTTGATGTTCCAGAAATGGAAGACTTGACACTCGGTGTTTTTTCTTCATTTGATGATATAACTTATAATACAAAACCTATTGCACAAGCACCAGAAAAAACAAATGATGAAAATAAAACAAATATTAGATTTTCAAATAACAATATATCGACAATGTTTTTATCGTTTAATGGCGATGACAATTGTATAAAATTACAAAATCGAAGAAATGATAGTTCTGATGACGATTGGACTCAAGCTGAATTTGATTCAAGTTCCGAAAATACTAAAAATTTTCCAATTAAAAAAGTACGATTTAATTTAGATGAAAAAGAAAACGTTAAAAAATCTGAAAACGATTTCATTTCATCAAATACTACGTCTGTGGATTCTGTCGATAATCATGCTAAAATTATACGTGAGGTTTTAAAAAAATATCCTCATTTGGTTCAACATAATAAAAATATTCGATTAAAAATCATGCAAAAAGAATCAAAAAATTCTGAATGCTCTGTGCCTAGTAAAACAAAGGTTTCTTACCTTGTTTTAAAATCGGATTCTTTAATGATAAATACTACTGATAGGTTAAATTCATCTAAAAGTATTAATGCTTTCAATTCCGACAATAATGAAACTGGTCCATGGAAATGTATAAAATGTAACTTGGATGAAAAATATACAAATTATTTCATGTACAGACGGCATATGCAAGATGTTCATGGAGAAAAGTTTGATTCTCGTATTTGCGAATATTGTGGATATAAAGCAACTAAACGAAATATTTTGTTGTATCATATGTATACTAAACATAATGTGTCTCGAATAAAAAATACATCATTTCCGAAATGTCAAGAATGTTCATATATTGCACTATCTGAGTCCCTTCTAATAAAACATCAAATTAGTCACAAACATCGACCAACAACACTAAGTTTACAAAAATTTACTACTGAATCAATAAAATGCGTGCAATGTGAAAAAGATTTCACTGATGTAACAGAATTAGCATTACATGAAATAACTAGTGGCCACGGAACTTCCTTAAAGAATAAAAAAAAAAAACATTACTGTACGTATTGTGGTAAACAATTTTTAAAAATAAATAACTTAAAAATTCATATCGATTGTCAACATAAAAATATACAAAAAATTGAAGATTGTTCGAATATACCAACTCTTTCAGAACCATCATCTGAAGCCGAATCTCTTAGTAATGTAGCTAGTGGTATAGCAACTTCACTCGGTGTTGGAGATGTTTTACAATCAACCGATGCTAATGAAAAACAATTTGAAAAATCACAAATAAATTCCACATATATTAAAAACTTTGAATTTGAAGATCAACATATGGTTATGTTAATAAACGATGAAAATTATCAGGGACAGAGTTTTAAAAATGAATATCCTCTAAATATTTCAACAAATGATGAAATCGTCGTTAGAAATCCTGATGGAGAGTTAGTTGTTTATATACAAAATACTAGTAACATTGAATCTTCCCGGAAATTGAAAACAAATGCTACACATGAAAATTATAAGTATTTGAAAAATAATGATGAAATTGTTGAAGTTGTAGAGGAATTAGAAGATATAGAAGATGTAAAACAAGAATTAGAGTATAAGAAAATTAAAACAACTCATGTTTTTAATAAAGAGGAAAAACAATTATGTTGTGTTGAGCATATTTTAACTTCTGAAAGTATAAAAACTAATTCAATTGCAACAGAAGAAGTAATTCAATACGTTGAAGAAGAAACAGAAATTTTGGAATATGAGACTTCTACTAATATTTGAAAAAAAATTAATTTATCTAGAATATTAAATATTTAAATGGTAAATTAGAAGAAATAAATAATACGGTTTTATTTTAAATTAATGAATTATTTTGTATAAGTTTCTACTATTATTTTTATCGTATTGCTTCATAATATAAGAAAATTAATTATTTGTGTGACATAATATATAAGAAGTTCTTGATTTATGTCAAAATTAAAAATTGTGAATTATAATTTTTTTTACGTAATAAATAAAATATATTTTCAATATTTAGCTAAGTTTTTAAATATTTACATTCTTTATGTAATGAAATTTAGATATTTTATACAATCTAATTTAAAACATCTTTTGCATTTTATTGATACACATAAATTGTATATTACTATGTGACTTGTAAATATTACGATTATTTCTGTATGTTTATGAATATTTAAAAGAATTATGTAAATTCAATTGTGTAGTAATGTAATTGATGTAAATACATTTTAAAATTTTTAATAATGATCATTGCATTATAATCTCGATATGTGCTACAGTATTTTCAGAAGATCATATGCAAAAAATCAAATACCGATAATATGTAGATTCGTTATATGGCAATAGATAGTGGAAATAATTTAAATAGACAATTTATTTACATATATCTATTGCTGTATAATAATTAGATCTACGTGTAAAAAGAATTCTGTCAAAATAATAAATAGAAAGGATAGGTACAATTTATTAAAAATTATTGGATTATTACTTTTAATTATTACTATTGTTATTAAATTATTACTATGATTACCTTTAATCCAATTTTGCTTATACATTTTATGGCATAATTTAGAATTATTGAAAATGATATTTGTCACAGTATGTTTGAATTCCTGCGTTGATTTTTTTCGATTATGAAATGTGTTAATACGCAGAATAGAGTGTTCCATATTCTAGTCAACGTTAGTAATTATATGTATATAGAAATTATAAAGGAAAATGTTAAGCTCTTTCTAATTAAAATTGAAAATTTTGATACTCTCCCCTTTTCTTTTTTTTTATACTACATTTTGAAACATTAAAAAATAATAGACCAATGGTTTCATACATTAAATCAATGACATTTTAAGGTTTTATAATTAATTAATTATATATAATTTAAAAAGTTGTAAAAATCAATTATATTCTTAACTGAACCTAAATATAAATATTTTATAAAGCTTGATTTTACAGAAAATTAAGTAAAAAAAATATGAAATTATATTTATGATTATATAAAGAAGAATTAAAAATCTAGATGCATTTATGAATAATTTTTATAAAAAATGATAAAATTATAATCGTTTGAATAAAAGTGTTTTAAAAACAATCGGTAAAGACCATTAATGTACAACAGTTTTATATACATAAATTTTGACATGGTATTATGAATGTCACTGAAACTATCTGATATAAGGAATAAATAATTGAATTGTACCTAATCGTAGAATAGTAGCACAATAATTGCGAATATATATTACTATGGATGTTCAATGATTACTTTATATAGAGATATTTAAAAAAGATATCACATAAAAAGAAATGAAAGACAAAAACCATTTTCAGTTAATCAATTGTTAATACCAATCGCGTTTCTATAAAATATTTAGTAATACATTGGAAATTTGATAAATAAACGCTCATCCAGATATGGTCATACAATTTTTACACATGCATTGATAAATTAAAATATGAATATATCCAAAATCAACTATTTGAAAACTAGAAGTCTCATATTCTGTAAATCGGAATCATAAAATAATATTTATGATAAAAATTATCTATATTATTTTTAATTAAAATAATTTAAATATTATTTTTAAATGTCTAAGATATAGATATAAATATTAATTTTATGATATAAAAATAATATCAAATTTTTATATTTAAACTAATTGTATAATATAATATATAATAAATATATAATAAATAATATGCTGTTTATCACGACAGATAAAAAAACATTCAACAACTTGATTACAAAAAATAAATTATTCTAAACCATTGTATTGATGGGCCGCCGTATTAATATAAAGTTTATACACATTGTCAATAATGTTAGATTAATATAGAGTTATTATAATACGCCATGTCTATAAAATTTAAAAATGATTTATTTTTCTACAATATGGAATTCACTTGCTCTTGCTCGGCTATTCTGCGGTGTTTTACTTATCTCATGATTTATTATATACAAACGTACTTTTTTGCAGTAATTTAAGTTGATAAAATTTCTGATTTGTTACTTTCTTTAGATAACTAATAATGTTCATTCGAATTAAGATAATATATATATATGAAAATAAAACTTTTTAGCAGTAATTCGTTTACTCTCTTTTTTCATTTTACTATATTTTAGTGATCTTATAATTTCATGATTATGTTATGTACTTGAATCTTTTTATAATTTATAATAAATTTCAACAAACTGTATATTCTTTTACTATGTTTATTAGAAATTAAAGTCCCAATCTTTACAATTTTTTTTCTTATATATATATATATATATATATATATATATATTTTTTTTTTTTTTTTAACACTATTTACTATTTACTATTTGAATATACAAGATATTCAACATTCTGTCGTCCATATTTTAGAGGTAAAGTTGTAGAATAAGATAAAAATAAAACATGAATATAAATACATTGTTAAATACCGAAATTATAAAATATTATAAATTATATTATCTTTTTAACAATAAAAGCTATTATTTATATGAAATTATTTCTTCCAATTTTAATTTTAGAAATAAATTAAATTATTTTATTAATACCATTCTATTGGATTCATTTTAATTATCGTTCATAACTTTAAAATTTTTAAAAGTTTAATGATTTAATGCTTTTTAAATTTAAATTTGTATATACATATATATATTTACTGATTTATAAGAAAAATATTATTAATTTTTTAATTTTACAATTTAAATTATTCCTATTAATTTAATTTAAATGTTTCATCTACCACTACTTATTACGACAAAAATCAGGAAAAGTAAAAAAGAATTAATATAATTAAACGAAATGTTACAATATTAAGAATTTTTATTAGAATGCGCGCATTTGCAAGAACCAATAAGTTTTCATCTCTGATTGCTTACCTCAAGTATTTTACCAAGTTTGATTTACAAATAATATTGATTTTTCCATTCTAGGGAGAACTCTTTTGAAATTGAATTAATTATTCTTGATTAATTCGTGACAAAATTTCTGTATATAACCTATTTCGAATTTTTTAGTTTAAATCAATTTAGGCAACTTCTATCGAAAGTTTGTCGAAAAGTTTAAAAGTAATTTATTTATAATAAAAATTATTAATAACGATGTAAAATATTTAATACGTATTTTTTAAATATTTAAAAATATAGATTTATTTATTCAATATACATAAAATAATTAAAGGTATTGCTTCAATTTATTCGTTATTTTTTTAACATTACGACACTATTTTAAAGATTATATAAATTGACATAATCTTGCCAATATTTAACTATGAGTAGAGAAATTTGAAATAAAATAACAGACAAATATATAAACATTTTTATTAAATATTGTGTACAGGTAAATTTGAAATTAACTTACAATGTTTAATTATAGTTTTCATTATTAGTGCTTATAGTATTATTCAAATACGGGTTTTCGATATAAATTTATAATAAAATATTGTTAAAACAATGGAACCATATGATATGATTGTTAATCAGCCAGTTGTAATAGATAATGTAAGTACAATTTAATTATTATGAAAAGATTATATGAGAAGTATTTTAAAACAAGTTATAATTATTGATTAAAAAATATTTAGAAAGGAAGAAATAAATTAGTAATAATATGACATTTCAATATAATAAACATTTATCAAAATCGTTTTACTAATATCAGGTATAATCAATTAATTTGATTAGATTTTATTTAAACAAAGAATGCATTATTTGTATTAACTATGAAATATATATTATAATTAAAAATCACATTTAATATATATGAATCAAAATCAATTTTATTTAGTTTGGATAATGAAGATATTTTAATAATACTTGTAATAAGATATATAAATATTGGTTTTGTTCTATATTTATCATCTGTCATTAAATAAAATAATTTCAAATATAATTTGATTAGTCTATTAACAAATTATATATTATTTGAATTTTCAATTTTATAAACACTATAATTTTGTATTTCTTTATTAATTTAATCGAAGTTAATTTTTTTTTAAATTAAAATTAAAGTCGGAATTTAAATATTTCTCTTATATTTCATTTTGGTATCATTTATCCATTTATAATTTAATTATTTTTAAAATGTCATGTTATAAATTTTTTTCCGGTATATAGTTCATATTATTTTTTTTTAATTATTCAAATTATTTTGAAATTAAATGTTTTGTGGAAAAAATATATGTTCGACATATTTTAATAACTTGTATATTATACTTATTTCTTTCTTGTTGATATATTTTATAATATTTTGTTGTATTTGAAAATGTGGAATACGAAGTTACATGATTACAAATAGCTTTTCAGTATAAATATACAGTCGGCATAAAGTTAATAAATTACCAAATTGATATAATAAATAAAAGTACATATACTTATTAATTTAATTATCTGCAATCATAATAATGTGTTAAAAATTTTCAATGTAACTATGTATTGTACATGTGAAAAATTATTTTTATATAATAGTATATTATCTGCTGCCTATATTATTTGAAATTATTAAAAATAATAATGATATTATAGTTAAGTATTTTGTGAAATATAATATATACGAAGTACTGCATTACAAAAAATATCTAATTCGTGAAATAGATTCAGAATTCAAAATTAATTTTATGAGATTATTCAAAATTTGAAACACTTCCGTTTTTATACTAGTTGACATATACCGTTTAATGTTGGTATAATAAGTTGAAGGGTTTTAATTATAATTTGTAATACTTGTATACTATGATTTCCTATTCATTATTTTCATCAGTTAATTGGTAACAAGACAATTAATATGTATATCTTAGATATTTAAAGATAATATTTAAATTTTTTTAATTAAAAATAATATAGATAATAAGTAAGTTGGGGTATCCAAAGGTAATCCAAAGACTTGTTTGAAATAGCAGATAGTCATAGATTAAATCTATGTAATGTTATTTTAGCTAAATGTTACATTTAGCGTAAAAACAAGAAATATTGACACTTTAGAGTAGATACAATACATATCAATCATTAGAACAATAGATGTTTATTTAGCTGAAATGCCTATAGCATAAAATTAATTTTTACAAAAAGTTATAGTGTTCAAAGATTAAAAAATGATAAATAGAAAAAAATAATTAAGCTTAATAAATATAGTGCAGGATAAAGTCATTGTTTATTTTATTAGAAAAGATACATATGGGAAAGTATAGGGAAGTCTGAACAAAAATAATTTCATGAAAGAAAGAAAAAATGTGGTAACTAAATAAGTAAGCAAAGCAAACCTTAATTAAGATTTGCTTTTATGAAAATTATTTGCATGTGGATAGTGCAATCTAGTTTAGAATTTAATAGCAAATCAAGTAGATATATAAGAATGACACAAAGAAGTTGTAAATAAATATAAGCATGAAAATGTATAATTAATCAATAATTTATAAATAAATTCATTATAATTAACTTCAAATCAATTTATATGAAGTTAAATAATATTAATAAAAATTATGTTACTATTTTTACTGGTACAAATAAAATTCTTAATAAAGTTTGACATAAAATATCATTTTTAGTAAATATATAATGTATAAAACAATGTTATTAAATATGTTTAATAATATAATCAATGTAGAAATTTAAATAATAAATATGGAAAAATCTTTGAATACAATTTGTTATAAATAATTTTATAAATACTTTTAATGTAGCTTAAATAAAATATAAATACAAAGCAGATGGGCTACAAATAGCAGATTATTAAGACAAAATGTAAAAAGTATCAAAAGTATCAAAATTATTTTTTTTAAACCTTCATATAGAATATGTGGCTTCATGCTACACAGCAGAAATGGTTTGTAAACATATTAAGAGTAATATGAAAGAGTTGATCGATTAAAAATAAAAAGCTATAAAATTCTTTATTTAATTAGCAATAATAAATTTCTACCTCTGAAGATAAGTAAAGTTGTAATTGTTAAATACATGATTATTTACGCTTAATTTTGGTATGTGGTAAATACTTTTATGTAGATGAAGGATTCAAAATAAAAAGAAACTTATATACCTCATTATGTGTAAAAAAACTGTATAATGAACGATATTTTTAATTCAAGAATGCAATTAATGATAAAGTAATAAATACGTAAAATACAATTTTACAAATAAATATTGTAATATATATTTCTTGATTAGAACTATTTTTGTACATACAAATATAAAAAAACTAATTCTCTATAATTAAACAATTTGAAAATTAATAATAAAAACCATAAGTAATAAGGATATTTATAATTTTATATATTAATTACAAAGAAATTAGCAACAGTACAATATTATCTTGTTTCATCCTGGATTCGTTCAATGTTGGATCTGGTTTCATTGATTTACAGAATGATTGAACGAAAAATTATAAATTATTTTAATATTATAAAATAAATACAGTTATATTCAGAAATTAAAATTTAAGTAAAGTGTTTTTATATAAATATAATTAAGAACTATTATTCGAGCATGGGAAATACTAGTTATGAATTTGTAATACTAAATGCTATTTGGTATACTTATAATTTTCTCATTATGATTTTATCAATTTTGGTTTAGATGGATTGGTGATATGTATTCGATAATGGATAGATATATTAAGACAATTTCTTGTATACTAAGTTAGAAATGCTTAAAAAACAACGATTGAGAGTGATTGACTCATTTCATGTATCCCTTTATATACATACCGAAAGCAATTCTTGGATGTCGATCATATGTATCATGAGTTTCTTATCCTAAATATTAAAAAAAAAATAGATTATATAGTTGCGCTTAGTATTAACATTGGTCGTAATATATTAAGATCCGACCTATTATTAATTCTTCCAACATGTTAACTACTATATTCGTGTCTAGAATTGCATTTTAGATTTTAATTTTAGATTTTGGTAGTACTTATTTCAATAAGAATGAGACAGTGAAATATATGTTTGATATAATTATGAATTCACATATTCAAAATAATTAAAATTACAAATAATATTAGTTACTATGTAATGATAATAATATAATAATATGTTTTAAATATAATTAAAAGAATAAATTTATTAATTACGAATAACAAATAATTAGAATAATTGTAATAGTAATGTAAGCAAGTTTCAAAATATTCAACGCAACAAATCCACTTCAGTCGTATGTATTCATGTTCTTAATAGTATCAAAAGAAAATAGCATGAAAAACATTGTCAAATGACAAAATAAATTTAAATACCTTTTTTCAGAAATTATATATGTATCTTTTTAATATTTCACGGGTATTGTTTTATTTAAACACTTTCAAAATTCATTAAATTCTGTTTTTTTATATATATACTACTATGATTTTATATATAGAGATTATATTTATATATAGAGCGAACGAATTAATGTAACTGATAAAAAAAACAATTATTATAGAAAATTACAAATCTATATTATTTCAAAATATTATTTTTTATACTATGTAGTACTAACCCTTTTCATTTTTCTCAGGGATCTGGAGTTATAAAAGCAGGCTTTGCCGGAGATCAAATACCAAAATGCAGATTTCCAAATTAGTAAGTAAACTATAATAAAATTATCCTTATTTGATTATCTTTTTATTAAATACAAGTATCAATGAAATATATCAATATAAGGGGCTATATCATAGAACGATAGAAGTGAAAATTATTTTTTATTTAATATTGCATTAATATATTAAAAATAAGTATGAATTTATTATTTCCAAAAATATTTTTAGTGCGGCAGAAAACTCACTTTCAATATTATAACTTCAAGGATAACAGTATTTCCGTCCACTGATTTAAAAAAAATATTGGTAATATTATTAAAGTTTTTATTATAGGATTTTTAGAATTTTTGTGGCTTATTTTCGTTTTTTTTTTATTAAAAAATATATAAATAAATATCAAGTGATAAGATTATTAAAATCTCTAAAATATATAGATCATTTTAATTTATTGTAGTTATTGTTTAATAACTATATATTCTTAATCAAGTTTTTGATTAAGTAATTAATTTAAACATTGATCACATTGATTGCACATTGATCCTTTTTTTGTATTTTTTATTGACATGTGTACTTTTATTAAATATAACATTTTTTGGAAAAATTAATACATCTTTTATTTTAAACTAATTTAATTTTTAATAAAAAATCGATATTATGATTTTTAGTATTGGAAGACCAAAACATACTAGAGTTATGGCCGGGGCATTAGAAGGTGATTTATTTGTTGGCCCGGTAGCTGAAGAACATCGCGGTCTATTAACACTTCGTTACCCAATGGAGCATGGTATAGTTAATGATTGGAATGATATGGAGCGAATATGGTCTTACGTATACAGTAAAGATCAATTATCAACCTTTAGTGAGGAACATCCAGTACTACTGACAGAAGCTCCGTTAAACCCTTGCAAAAATCGAGAAAAATCAGCCGAACTGTTTTTTGAGTCTTTTAATGTTCCAGCTTTATTTGTTTCCGTACAAGCTGTATTAAGCTTGTAAGTTTAATTAAAAAATCATTAATACCTTAAAATATTTGAAAAAATTAAAATTATTTGTCATTGTTAGATATGCAACAGGAAGAACTACTGGAGTAGTTTTGGATGCTGGAGATGGTGTTACACACGCCGTTCCAATTTATGAGGGATTTGCAATGCCTCATAGTATAATTAGAATAGACGTTGCGGGTCGTGATGTCACAAAATATCTTAAGCTTCTATTAAAAAAAGAAGGAATAAATTTAAGTACTACTGCTGAATTTGAAATTATTAGAATTATAAAAGAACGTGCTTGTTATTTAGCGAGTAATCCACAAAAAGAAGAAACTGTTGATACAGAAAAATTTATATTTCCTTTACCAGATGGAAGCCATGTAGAGGTACTAAACATTGTTAATAAGTTTTTAATTGATCGATATATGAAGATAATTTATAAATTTCACAATTCATTTACAGAAATTTAAAATTGAATATTTTCAATGTATTTTTTAATGTATCTATCCTGAATTTTTTCTTGAATTTATTCTTAAATGTTTAAGATTAAAAGTTATTTTTTAATGAACGTGTGAACTATGAAATATTAAAGTAATCTTCTATGTTCCAAATATTATTTATTCGTTTATAATTTTTATTTTTTTTACATACAGTATATTGATTTTCCATTAATTAATACAATATATAATAAAACAATAATATATTACATTATCGAATCATTAATTTTGCTTTTTTGTTCATGCTTTCATTGGATTATTATTTTTTCACCTTTTATATTTCAGTTTTCCCATATAACCTTTTTTAAAAATTACTTTTAACAGCGTCTACTAGCTCAGCGTTTTTATTCGTTAGCCAATTAAACTAATTAATGCTGAATACAATGTAAAATATATTGACTTATGAAATTTCTTAAATGTAAATATATCATAAATATTTATGACATAATGAAATGTTTTTAATTAATTTTTTATATTATTTATTGTCAATAAAATTAGTTAAAATATTTATTTTAATTACTGCATTTTATGGAACATTTATAGTAAAAACCTTTTAATTGAGAATCTCAAGTGTATGATATATAAATAATTTTAAAAAATGTAATATTTACTTTGTAATTAATTTTAGTTTTACGAAAAATTTATAATTATGTATATTATCGTGAGTGAAAAATTTATATATATAATTATATTTGTTTTAATTATAAAATGGGATCGTCATTATTTATTCAAAAGTTAACTACTGAAATAATTGTAATTTTTATCTTTTTAAAATTACTGTTCATATAGTTTTTGTATGTTCTGTTGATGACATTTACTATCAAACTGATGCTAAAATTATCAAATTGAAATTTAAATTCAAGTCCATTCCTAAATTACATAAATACTTTGTTTATTAGACTTATTTAAAAATTCTACAATATATTCAATGTAAAATTATATAATTAAAAATTTTAAATATAATTTTATAGTTGCCAATTTAATTTTTTAAGCAGCTTAATTTGTATAAATAATGAAAAGTAATTCTATTTAAGTGAAGTTTATATACTAATGTGAATACTATATTTATGTTTTTGAACATAAACAATACATCTATTAATTTAAAGTTTATAAAAGTGATTAATAAAGTATGTATAATAGAATTGATATACAGATTGTATATGTTTAAGGAAATACAATGTAAATAAAATTAATATTTCTTATTAATGTGAATATTAATTGGATTAATTCATAACAATCCATTTGGTCAATACACAAGGACATATGTATTGTAAAAATCGAATAAAAAATTAAAATAAAGTAATTTAGTGTCTTAATATTTTACTTTTAAATACATACACATGCATTGTTTTAGTACTGTGCAGTACTAAGTAAGTAAAGTACTGTAGCAGTAAAAAAAGTAAATAAAAGTAGAAAAATATTTACGAAATTTTTTAAAGTTATAAAAATTAAACAAGATAATTATGCAAGCACAAGAAGTAATCTTTTGTCACATTAATCAATTTTGAACAATATGACAAATAACAAATAAAATTAATCTGAATTTCTGTTGGTATTTATTCATACATTCATGAGATTTTTACATATTTTATTAGTAAGTTATAAGCTTATACTTACAATCTTATTTAATGTTTTTATTTCAAGCAAGTTACTTCCACGCACTTATTTAAATCAATCACAGTTACTCAGATCCTTTTAATTAATATAAATATAAATGTATTTGTAATATTAATATTCCGAAAATAAAACTAATTATTTAGACATCTTACAAAAAGTATGGGAAACAAAATTAAACAAAATTGTTATTTCTATTCATATTTTAATTAAATTATTGTTATAACCATATATATATATGTGTGATATCTATTAGATTGGACCAGCAAGATTTCGAGCACCTGAAGTATTATTCCGCCCTGATTTAATAGGAGAAGAATATGAAGGACTTCATGAAGTGCTTATGTACTCTATTCAAAAATCAGATTTGGATCTGAGGAAAATTCTTTATCAAAATATTGTTCTTTCTGGTGGTTCTACATTATTTCGGGTAAGTAATATATCTATATTTCTTTTAAACGTTTATTTGTTTATTTTCTATAAATGTTTTTGAAGGATCTAATATTTTTAATATTTTTACTATCGTATTGTTAATTTTATAACCTATCCAAGGTGTTTTAATTATCGAACCAATTTAAACATTACCTAATTCAATAATTACTAATGTGTAGGTTCAATTACTAATACCTCATTTCAGTTATATCTTTAGTTTAATTTTGATCTAAGTCCTGTAAAAAAAAAATATTTTTTAATAAAATCATTTATTTTTATATTCATCTTTCTTTTTGCAAGTGTAATGAAAATAAAATGATTATATTCAATTACCTAAAAGATCTCATACTTATATATAATTGTCAACTAATTTTGAGATGTAGAGGAATTTATTTTAATGTTGGCGGTCAGTTGTTTGTTATTCTTTGTTACTATTGTTTTTTATGAAATTATCTCATAATATATCCCTCATAGTATAATAGGTAATCTAAGGTTATATAGAAATATCACAAAAGTAAGTTATAGAATTTAATATTTATTTAAGATTTTCTAATTATGGCGCGTAATTGTTATATATTTTAAAAATAAAGTTTGCTAGAGTTATTTTTATGTACTTATTAGTTTTGAGAACTATGCATAAAATTTAATGTAAGTTTTACGTTTTAAGATATTTTTATCAGATATACGTAAATACTATATTGAAGTAATTATTCTTTGTATTCATATGGTCAGTAATATTTCTTTCTTTTATTTTTATATATATTTTATACTATTTCATTTATGGATTATTTTTCATAATGTACAATGAGATAAGTGTAGAGAGTAGTACGTGCATTAGTTTTGAAGACTGTGGAGTAATTTAATATTTAATTCTTACATGACAACATGCATATGAATTTAGATAATACCTTTAATATATATAAAAAATCTTTATAAATTCTTCTTTAATTTCAAATTATTCTATATTACATTGATCAAACATTCATATTATCGTGACAAAAATAAAAGTTGATATGTATAGAAATAATTTAGTTACTTTTTTATTATTTAATACATAAATTTTTTTTTTACAAAAAAATCTTTCGTTTTTACCTAAAATTATGGTTAAATACCATTTATCAAATAATTAATTTTTTATTAATATCTATAGGGATTTGGTGATAGACTATTATCTGAAATACGTAAAATGGCACCAAAAGATGTTAAAATACGGGTAAGTTACTTTTATTAATATATAACTTATATAAAAATTAAAGTAAATAAAAGTCTATAATAATGCAGTGAAGTTTATATTAAAAATGAAATTGTAAATAATTCATTTGTTGGTTATACTATTATTCGAGTTTGTTTAGCAATATTTATAAGCGTTTATTTGTAAAATATAATTTCTGTAAAATATTTATATGTAAATTATGATCGAATAATATATTGTATATTATTTTTAAAATAACTAGAGTTTTATTTAAACTATTATTTCTCAAAAAGCTATTTATATCAAGAATTTTAAAAATATGGATATTACCTATTTTCTAATTTTAATTATCATGTGGTATATATTGTTTAATACATATTTAATATATTTTAATTTGTTTTATTTTAATTTATATAATATTATATATATAATATATAATAATAATTATAATTTAATAATTGTTTAATACATATGTATGATTCTTCACAAAATTTTTGTTGTGATGTTACGCAAGTAATTTTACTTTATATAATTATATTTCATAAAAAACAATATTTAATAGGATTTTCTCCAAGTTTTAAGTCTATCAATAATATAGTTACTATATTTAAAATTACGCAATTTTCTGGGCATTTTTTATAAAATAATTTTATAATTTGTAATGCAATTGACGTACACAATATATTACTATTCTCATATCAATACTGAATAAATGTTTAGGTAATACCGTTATTCTATGAGTAATTTTTTTTCATCGTAATTAGGATGAGAAATATGATAAATACTAGTAAACATTATTCTAGCTCTTAGTATATCACATTTATGTTACTCAAATATAGTTTTGCAATTTTACACTAAAACAAGTATTTCTAAAATGATCAAAATTACTTCTGTATAATTCAATCCCGTAATTATCCCATAATTACCTTCATATATTTTTATTTATTTTAAAGATATCATTTGAGATGAAACAATAATTTACTGATCGCCTTATTATTTTTATCATTGAAGAGCCAGTTTTTTTTTGTATTGTTTTTATTTGAATAAGTATAAATTTTGAAATTATAATAAAAAAATATATATAATTATAATTTGATAGTCTAAAAGATTTTTTCGTTACTAATGATATTATTAAGAAAATCTTAATTTATTAAAATTATAATTCAGTGAAATATAAATTTCTTTTAAATGGTTTGCCAAGCCATTATTTTTGTGTTTTGTCCTCTTGCTGGACTCATATTTTTATTTGATTTGATGAATTGTTTCACTATTGTAAAATACTCAACAATTAACTACATTCATTCTTCTTTTGCATTCACTTAAAAAAATTCAATTCGTAATCGCCAAATATTTATAGTTAATTTGTTTTTTGAAGTAGTACTAAATTACTGAAATAGTTTTAATCAATTTCTATAAAGAAATTAAAACTGCGAATACTTAAAAATTTTGGTAAAAAGTAATCGGATTCGACTGCATAGTTATTCAAATAAAAATATAGATATAATATTGAACATGATTGATGCACTTAATTTGTAAGTTTTCTAAAAATTTAAGAAAATCGAGTCTAATATAACGAATTTTAATGTAAATGTTACTAAGTTAATTTAAAAAAAAAATGTATTACATGTCATTTTAGGAGTTGGTAATGCGTTTCACCTATATGCTTTTTAAATCCATTTTGCTTCATATATGTATATATATATGCATTATGAATTACAATCAAATAAATGATTTTGAAATAGTTGATACGTCAATATTATTACAAAATTATTTTTTAAATTATTCTTATCTGTATTTTAATGAAATAAAATGATTTATAAAAATCAATAAATATAGTTTGTTTATTGTAAATTCCGTATATCATTTATTAGTTGACTAGCAGAGTTGATTTATTTAAAAAATATAATTTTGAAAAAAGAAATATAAATATATAAATGCAATTAAAGAAATTTATTTAAATTTGTATTAAATACGTTTTAATCGACCAAATCTGTTTTCTGTTTTATACATTAGTGGATTCGTACATTGCATTCAAACTGTATTGCTAATTTGTTATTTTTATCAATTATTACAGAATACCTTTTTATAATTGTAAAAAGAGATATATAAATAAATAAAAGTCTATAAAATCAGTCCTAAACACAAATATTTTTTTAATGTAAATAAAATTTATAGCTTTATAATAACATTAGAAAAGACCTATATACGATAAAATTAAAAACTGTTTTCTTGAAATATCATTTTTATTACAAAATACATATCATCAAAATAAATTATATTCATTATATTATTATAATTGGAATATATATTCTTTTCTATTAACGTTTAGTTTTATTTTAATTCGTTACTAATCGTCTTAAAATATTTAAGAAATTCACTCGGTTTAAAATTAATTGAAAAGTAATGATTTATAAAATTAAACTATATTATCATATTTTTTAGATATCTGCACCGCAAGAACGCTTATACAGTACGTGGATAGGTGGGTCTATATTAGCGTCATTGGACACTTTTAAAAAAATGTGGATTAGTAAACGTGAATATGATGAAGAAGGACGCCGAGCAATACATCGCAAAACTTTTTAAATATAATTTAATAATTTTATATTTCTAATTTAAATATGATGAACTGTAATATTACCTTTTTTAATTTTATATTGAATTCTGGACAAATATTAATCCTTTATAATAGATAAAGAAATGGAATATATAATCTTACAACGCTTTTCATACTAAATCTATACGTCTTTTGTATATGTGAGTATTATAAATGTAATCAATATGCTAAATTGATATTTTGCAAATGATTGTACAAAAAAAATTAAAATTGTATTATAATAAATAATACACAACATAAAAATAAAATACAAAAAATGTGACGAGTTTGTATATAAAAACGAGATGTTATATATAAATAAAAATTTAATATGAAATGATTATAACACTGCGGTTAATAATACACGTTCCATAAACAGTAAGAAATTTAGTATTTTCATAAAAGAATAATTTGTTATAACGAATGTTTTATTATATATAAGTTTATAATTTTATGTTTTCACAGGTTAACCCCGAATAGAATATATACACTAATATACAAATTTCAATATTTTAATATACAAGCACTAGTCATTGTTTATTATTAATCTTCATTATTGTCTGAATATTAATTAAATAAACCAAACGTATTAAAAATCCTTTTATATCAAATTTTTCCGTTACATGATTTTATTTTTTATAAACACTGATTACATACCATACTATGCACATGCACTTTATCTATTTGGTTATACGCGTATTTGAAATTTTCCAGCTTTAGTTACATATTTAACACCTTTAAATGGTTTGTATTTTTCTCCATACATGTCTAATCTGCTGACTTTTAATCCTGAGACAGCTAGCTGATTAATAGAAAAATGAACCTAAAAGTATAAAAAATAAAAAAAAATTCAAATTTGAATTTGTGACAATATTAGTATAATATAAAATTAAAATTACAAATTTTCTATTAATGACATTGTTTATTAGTATAAAATATTCAATGTTTTTACTAATAACTGATAAAATCATATACAAGAATATTTCATTTGTATTTATAATATTTAAAAATTAATTTAATTATCGATATATACTTTTTCTGTTTACTTCAATTTAGAAACACAATAAATTGATATTTATTGCGAAAAATTAAAGCTAATATATAATATTTAAGTAATCAGTATATATTTAATGATGCTGAAATGTTTGTATCTATTACCCTACTTAATCGTTTATCACATCCATAAAAAATTTCAATTTACTTATGTAGTTTTCGTGTAGAAAGTTTTTTGTTTTATTTTAACTGCTAAAATCTTTTTCTGTGATTCTTTTCCTCTGGAATTCATAAAAGAATGCAATGTATTTGATGCAATATGTTGGCCAAGAAATGAAGACGATTTAGTAAATTGAATAAACAATGCACTAAAATAAATTTATTTAATTTTATTGCCTAATTCATTACGTTTTTCCTCCGATTAAAATTTTTAAATTGTATTGACCAATTAAATCAATGGAAATTATCAAATAATTAAAAACTGCAATATCCTCTATTATATTTTTAAATGGATTTTTTAATATATTATATAAAGAACTTTACCATTGTATTGGAAACTTTTTTTGGGTAATTAAATTTTATAAAAATATTCGCTGCAATTATGTGATCATATGGTAACTCAGAACATTGTAAATTAAATGATTTCATTTTTTTGGTTACAAATTACTTGCAGTTCTTTAGTCATATAATCCGAGTATGTAATCAACTGACTCGTTTATTTAAGGTTCAATTATGTCAGCGTAATGAATATCTTTCTTCAATAGAAATTTAATTAATTTCATTTTAATACAACCACAAAGTTCTTGAATGAGATTTGAACATAGATCTATCAAGAAATAAAGCTTTTAGATTTTACAGAAAAAACAAAGAGCAGTATACATAAGAAGCATTATATACAGAGTTTAAACTTCATCTTATTTCATATATTCTATGTAATAGTATTTAAATAAACGTAGTTTTATGCAAAATAAATAGTACAATATTGACAATTATTCTGATATAGCGCGTGAAAAGTTTATATGAGCCTAATGAACAAAATAATTCATTAAGCAGATGTCGATCAATATTTGATTAATAATCAATTCAAATAAAATTATAATATAAATTCAGGCATCATGATCTTCGTTCGTCACATAGAAACTATATGAATATTATACTATTAACTACTACGTTAATAAATATGATTACCTGTCGAAACAATCACTTTTATTAATTACATTTTGCTTCCAATATATTATTTATTGTGGAATAATTCATTCGCTTGATATTTTATAATTTGCGTATAATGCATTTTTCTTCAAATTTTTCAGTTGATGGTATCTGGCATACATGCTGACCGAGGACGATTTCTAATGTTTGTTGTCACACCAGGGACAGTAAACACGTACTATACCTAATTATATTCTGAAACACCATTTCAGAACACTTTTTGACATTTGAATAACTTTAATTACATTTACGAATTACTTTCAAGAATGGAATACAAGTAAATATTCATGGCTATGAATTTTCATTACTAGACATCCCTTTTTCCATGAAACAATTGAAATTTAGATTTCCAGAATTTATAATTACTATAAATTTTTATGAAAATACAACTTTGTAGATACAATGTTAGAATTTTTAGAATTTCTATGAATATTCTTTCCATATATATATATGGAAAGAAAGAAAGAAATAATATTCTTTCTATGAATATAATTTTCGAAAATGTAAAAATTTCCTGGGCCTCAAATTGTATATGATTACAAATGTAATTACATGATGTTGCATTACATCTTTGCTATCAAAATCGCCAAAATGTTAAGGTAAATTGAATTATACATATAATTATGAGAATAGATTTAAAAAATTATTAATATTATTTTATAATAATTATTGTTTGTAATATGTAAGATAGTTTATATTTATTATAGGACAGTAAGGATTCTATTTCAATTGGTTAACGATAAAAATAATTGATTTCTTCAATAAAATACATTATATTTATATTATTATTAGCATAGACAAACAATTTATTTTATCTAATTAAAATATAAAAGTCTACATATAATATATACCACAGAATGTTGAATTGTATTGCATGTTGATTTTACACGTACAATCTTCTTAGAAAGCATACCGAAATTTCGTAGACAAATTAGGGTTCTCATTAAAATTATATTATATCGATTACGAATTATTACATATTTTTATGTAAATATGACAATTAATACGAGTTGAAGTAAATTTTACTTTCTCTTTTTGAAATAAACAAGTGAATCGATTCAGTGTACTATTAATGTGACTGTTTGGTTTTTTCACTATTATTATACTATGAATGATAAATTATAATTGAGCCACATATATAGTTTTAAAATTATTTTATTCACTTTCAGTTCTATTTATCATTTAAAAATGACTATCACTAATAGAAAAAGGAATAATTGATATAAAATTATTACTATTTTGGTTTTAAATTTTAAAAAGTGTTTAAATGTTGATAATATATACATATAATTAAATACTAGGTATAAACCAGCAAATTTGCAGAGTATAATGGTGTAAATAATGAAACAAAATTTATGAGTAAAGAGCTACCGCATATTTATTTTAATAAGTTAACTGTCTATAAAATTTAATGGATTGTCTATATTTATGATATAATGATACTAAGCAGAATGTCTTGGATAAACACATAATTACTAATATACAATTCGGTGTCTCGTGTTATTTTTTTGTGTGAGGAATTAACGATACTTTTTATAACGTATATCCAATCCATTTTTAATTTTATTATTAACATATCTTAATATTTTGACACGATTTATTCAGAGTTCTTTGAAAACACTTTGTTATAACAATATTTAATAAACTTAATGTCTGGAGATAATTAAACTATTTGAAATTAAAGATTTATTAATAAATGCATATCAAGCTTTAAAATAATTTTACAATGCAAAAATACAATGAAAATGTAAATATTTAAAATTCAATCCACAAGAATAATTAATAGAATAAAAAATCTGATTTTATGTAAAACAAATCTCACATACAAATCTATATATAAGAAAAATTGAAATATTTTTTTAACAAATTATTATTTTAATTTAATTTATTATACTTTTATTGTATACATTTTAGTATATGATTAACATCTACTAAATAATGCAAAATTTCAAACAAAATATTTATACTTACGTTTATAGCTGGATTTGATTCTGAAGTTATGATAGAACTTTGAATTGCAACCTATAATAAAATAAAATATGTTACTTTAATGCTTTAAAACATTTGTATTTTTGGAAGTAAAGTAAGCAAAAGATACTTAACAGATCCTTTTAAATTTGGTAACTTAGAAATATCTAATCTTCCAATATCCCATTGCAAAATTTTACTAACTGGATCAAAAGAATATTTTCCTTGATTTGAAAAAAGATTACAGTTCAATACAATTTTGGGCATTGGTATTATCAAACTAACATTTTCAACCTGAAAAAAAAATTGTAATTTCAAATTAAATACAAAATAAAATTAATAACCTTCATTCTTCACTTTTTAATATGCATTTTGTACTCATTATGTATGATTAAATAAATATTTATCTACAATTAGATTTCATTCTTGTACACATTTTATAATTATTTAATAGTTATGTGAGAAAAGTTTGAGAATCATAATAATTATAGATTGAAAATATGTGGTTACTATTATAATTATAAACCAACTTGGAACCACATAAAACGCATTAATTTAGCATTTATAAAACATTATGAGTTAACTACTAGTTTTCTTTTAAGTACAAAATTATATATTTCACATATAGAATTTATTAAAATAATAATACTGAATATTTGTATTTAAATATTAAATATATATATATATAAATTAAAAAAATATACATTTATATATCATATACACCTTAATTTAGCAAGAGAATAATTCATGAAATGAAGCATGATAAAGAGAAAAAACAATTTTTTATAAAAAAGCAATAGAATTTGATATTTTACGGATTTTGGGTACAAAGTAAGATTCAAAAATTATATTTTATAATTAGTGTCATCTAGCTATATATTTTAATAATTTTATATATAATTAATAAAAATATATTAAAGATTAGCATACATTTTAATATATGTATATTAGAACAATAGTTTAAAGTAATATAAAATGTAAATTTGATACTAATAAATGAAAGTAACTAATAATACCAACTGTTTATATTTTTTTTCAAATTAATAAAAAAAAAAATTACACACATTGTTAACATAATATTACTATTAAATGTAGAATGAAATTAATAAGCGAGAGATATAGGATGAATTCCATAATCCTGAAAACTAAATTATTTTGTAAATCTAAAAAAATTAAAATACTTATTATTTTAATTTTTCTGTAACTCATTATTTCCTTAATTATATATATTTTTTTTTATTACTAATTATATGGAGTATTTTCATACATATAATTAAATTACAAATAACAAATATACTTACTATTCTACCTATTGTTTGCTTTGGTCCTACTGTAATATCTAATTTTCCACCTCCAGGTTCTCGTAAATTTATGTTATGTCGAATATAAATTGGAATTGCTACAATATTTGGAGGTCCAATATGATATGATAATAATCTAAAATTTCCATCTGGAGGAATAAAAGATAACATTTTTTCTGACTGAAAAAGTAAAATGAAAAATAAAATTTATAACATAATAATGATTAAGAAAATAATTTACTATAATTACCTCCCATCTTTTCAATCTAACACATGGATGAAAACTGACATCATCAAATAATCTGGGATTTACGAAAGAGAGTGTTAAATCTGGCATACCACTTAATTTAATACAGCAATCAATCTAAACAGATTTCTTAAATATTATTTTGAAATATATATTAGTTTTATATAACTTTCTATAATTTACTTTCTTTAATCATTTTTATTAAACAACAAATAAAATGAAAGTTCGATATTATACATCATCGATAACAATTTTATATGAATGAATAACAAGGGTATATTTTGAGACATTAATAAAAATTTAAGTCTTTCGCATGAATAGATACGAACTGAAATATACAAAATTAACCTACAACCTACAATGTTTAAAATAAGGAAGTAAGATAATAGAAAACACCTTTAATATCAGAGACCTATAAAGTAAAAATTAATTTGTAAATATCAACCAGTGTAAAGTTAAAAGGATTTGAAGAAATCATTGTTAAAATAAAATTTTAGAGTTATGTATTGCTAGTGATAAAGGGCAATAGTAATAATTGACATACACGTGGTTATTAATATATAAAAAATTATATAAGTGTTTAATATGTATAAATATTCCTACTTTATTATCTTGTTATTTTATCTATCCCTTCTTATATGATTTGAATTTTTTTAATCATTTTTAATATGCGTTATAATATCATTATAACATTTAATATACTGTACATCATACCTAACACTATATTTATATCTATTGTTATTAATATTAATTATATTTAAAGATATATAGTTATAATGAGATCTAATACTGGGTCTTTTATGGTAGGAAAGCAACCTATTACACTTATGCATGTGTATAATGTTGATAATATAGCAATAGATTTTAGCGTGTAAACCATAAAAAGGAGCAGTATCACCACATTGTCTATAATTGGAATAATAAATTCTTTACATATATTTTGAGCGTATTAAATAAAAATTAAAATTAAAATTAAAATTAGGAACATGTGTAGTATAACCATGAATAACATACATCAGAATTCTTGTATAATTAAGAATAAAGTAGCTTCAAAACAATATGTATGATATGAATTATTTGTTTCTATGTTTTTATTGATTTTTAGGAAAGAAATTATTAGTGTAACTGTTATAAATAATCGAATTCAAATGTCAAAAAAGAGTGAGAGATTAAAAATATGAATCAATCAAAAGTTAAGTTTCATATTTTCTATATGTGGCTAATATAGTCTGTGTGTAAGCTAGTAGTAAGCACTTGTTGACATAGAAAAAGTGAACATTATTAATATATTGAACTTTCGTTAATTGGAATGTATAAATTATGAAATATTTATTCTTTGAATTTATAAATAAAGTTACATAGTTATTTAATTATAATTCAAATATAAAAAATTTAGATCTGGTATATTAAATATATTCTTTCTATCTCAATTAATAAAGACTTACATATCCTTGAATTTCTGCAAACACAGTAGCACCTGTCTTGTCAATAATAGCATCAACTTCTTCAATAATATCGAAGTATGCTTCATTATTATTATATTTAACACCTGTTCGTCTCCAGGGTACATTAGATAGTTGACCACTAGGTAGCGTTGCACTAACACTATTAGAAAGAAATAATTATTGTATATTATATTAAAATTTTCATTATTGTATATGTAAATTCATACTTAGACTTTCCGGTCACTGTATTTGCAATAGTTCTAAGAATATTCGGTGGTTTGATAAGTTCTTGCAATATGTTTGATTCTGTTGTTAATGGAAATCCATTATCTAACATTTCATCTAATAATTCGTAAACAATAACATAATTCTCTTTAATTATAATTTCTGTGCAATCACTAAAATAGTCTTCAAAAGTATTTACAACACGGTGTAAAAATTCAATAATAAATAATGGAGGAACTGGAATAATATACATATTTAGAAATTAAATATTTATTTTTATTTAAATTGTTTTACCTTCCGTCGAACAAACTGCAATAAAATACATACTACATCTATAAATACTAATTAAATAATGATGTGGAGTTGCTATAACTGGAGGAGTATCTTCAGGAGATAAAACTTTATGTTGTTCTTCAAAAAAATATTCACAAAGTGAACGTGCAACAACACTCTTCCAATGTTTCTCCATGAACACATCACTGTCAAGTATAATTAATGATATAATCTATTAAACTATTGAATAAAAATAAAATAAATAAACAACATTAAATTTCTTATATATCTTACCCAGAAGAATTAATAATAAATAGACTATGGATCATTATCCAAATATTAAATGGTTAATTCAATGTACAAATCAATCAAATTCCTCAATTTTGTTGTAACGTTCTAAATAAGAAAGAATTATATGTAAAACAAGTATATACATATTTGGTGGAAATTTTAGATAATCAATTAATAAGAGGATTTGCGATTTTTATTTTACTGATTCATATTAATAAATGATTGATTAATTATTTATAAGGTTATTATATTTTATAAGAATAAATATATTTATACATTTAAATAATAATTTGAAAAAAATTTATTTTAATTTACATACATTCAGTATATTAAGTTTGACAAAAATTAGTTTTGAAACAACTTGACATGGCTATTTTTGCTTCTATAAAACATATCCATAAAAGACAGAGCTCCTACAAGTACAACTATATGAGATTATAAGATAATTTGACGTAAAATAATAGAACAAGATAGACAAAAGGATGTTAGACTGTCAAAAAAGAAAGAAGCAATAAAAATAATTTTATTTTTTACAAATGTTTTTTCGTAATCAATGTTTTTTCTCCAAAATCAGTCTATCCATTATGCTAGCAAAATAGCCGTATGTAATTATATCATTACAGAGATAATAATTATGAATTTTTTTATGCTAGCCTGATAAACATCATGTTAGTGTTTCTGTATCTATATCTATATTATTTAATGGATTTTAAATAAAATATTTTCTTTTAATTTATTGCCTACATTCTATCTGTAGCATGAAGAATTTTTTAAGGATGACCAAAATATGAAATAATAATACTAATTAAGGAATTCATGATAAAATGGTAAAGTTTACAATTTAGTGAGTTTACAATTTTGTCTCAGATAATAATATTGATGGTAAAGAGTAAAACTTGGAAGTGTTATATATTAGTGTATATATATATATATATATATATATATATATATATTGTAGATTAATTTATTTTATTTATCATTAACATTATTCAGCATGTATTTATTATTAACACGTTCAGCAGTTCTGTGGCCAACTCGTCTATCTTTATTTTGTTGACCTTTTGCAAAAGTGTTTGAGAAATATAAGAATGTATTAAAAATGGCTGAATACACTGTAAATTACAGAAAAAAATGAATTAACAAACAGTAACTAGTTGTAGCACTCAAAAAAGAAAATATACTAATGTAGTTACAATTCACAATTAAAGAAAATATCTGTAAATTTTACATAATATTAACAATTTTATTTAATGCAAATAAGAAAATCAAGAATTATGAACAAAATTAATTTATCTATAACCAGTAATATACAATATAAATATTAATTTTAAATGCTTCGATTTTTTTTCATCTTTTTTTTTATTCTCATATTTAGTTTATTATTAATTCAATTTATTTTTATTCAAAAGTTTGTTTTATTTAAATTTAACAAATTTAAATTCCAGAATTTAAGCATGTTTTTATTACAATTATATTTCAATTACAAAACCTTTATAAAATTAGTTGAATTTGATGAAAGTTTATTCTAAAAATATTATTAAAATTGAAAGACATTTAATAGATAGAGCTGAATAGACAATATTATAGAATAAAAAATCTACAAATAAAATACTATATCATAAGTATCCAAGGAAACTCATTGTCAATTATGTATAAAATATAAATATGTAATTAATTTATTATAAACTAAATTCAATCAATTATTCTTTTTATCATTTTCAAATTTATTTTTAATCAATAAATATGGATATTATGTAACTTTGTTATTTTCTAAAATAAATTTTATATAATATCCATATACTTAAGTTCATCTGCTATTTCTTTCTTCCTTAATTTAAAAAAAATATATTAATAACATTAAATTGGTTTAAAAATTTTTTGAAATATAATTAAATAAATTTTCTTAACTTACTTTTGAAAAAAAAATAAAAGGCATATTTTAATTAATCAAATAATTTATCCACAATACTTACATTTAATATTCAATAATATTATATCGTCAACAAAATTACAGGCAACTATAAAAAAAGGCATACTAAAATTAAAATCCACTTAAAAAAATTTAATTTATTACAAGTGCATGTTTATGTGTGAGGTATGTATATATTTGTAAATTATTTTAGGAACTAATATTATATTAGCATTAACATTATTTATATATAATTATAAAACTTATTTATTACAATATGTTTTCAATATTTTTATATTAATAATCTTCATTGGAACAACAGATTTGAATGAAACAAAAAAGTAATACAATTATAAGTAATAATTTATATATATAAAAAAATTCCATTAATTTCTAAAACATTTTTAAATCAATTATATATTAAAAAAAATTAATATTTTTTATAAATAAATACTAATATTAGTGTTTCTAAAGTATTATAAAATAAACATACTTTAGATGTTATCCATAATTATGTTTACTAAATTATTTATGAATTTAGTAATCAATAAATTATTACTATAGTTGTTTAATTATCTGGACATATTGTAACAGCAATTTTTATTAGTTTTAAAAAATAGTAGTTAAAAATTAGTAATTGTAAAGTCTAAAAAATATTTAAATTAATATATTATATATTACTTTAAACTTGTAAATGAATATTATATAAATATGAATATTATATATTCACTTCAATGTTAAAAATTTTTTTGCAATGAAAACATGTTCCTCTTTAATTTTGTATTTTATATAAAAGTATATTTTGCAATTGTTATTAATCTATATATTTATGATTAATTTAAATTTAAATATTTGTGTTTAAATACACAATGTATATTTTATTGAAAAATTTGAAAAATAAATAAAGAAACTTGCCTTAAATAAGTAATAATAATAACAAATACTTAATATAAGAGTTAATTTAATATATGATAAATAGTAACAGTTTCTATATTTTATTTTAAAATATGTAATGTATTTTGACTGATGACTGTATAATGTTAGAAATACCGTGTACGCAGTGAAGGTCTTAACTCATAGTGAATACAAAAATGCTGTAGATATTACATACCAAGTTCATAGAAATTTTTAGAAATGTATGATTAATAGGAATTCATTAAGTTTTTCGAAGTCAGAAATTTATAGCAGGAATATTACCGAAATTATATTAAAATTTGTCTTGAAAAAATTATATTAAATAAAGTAATTCTAGTCACCAATTATTATAAAACATTTTTTGTTTAGATCGTATATCTAGAATTTCGTATATTCATGACATATATAAAAAATATAATTTTTTATATTAGTATACAATTATTAAACTAAACAATACCAAAAGTAATTCAAATATAGAAAAGTAATATATATTTTACATATTTCAAAATTATACACAAAGCACGCTGGCTACGAACAACATGATATATATTTTTTAACGCAATGGGAACACAAAATAAGCTATTTTTTACAAAGAAATTTTTAAATTATAGATTTGCTATATTTCATTCTAGAATTTTTATTAAAAGCTTGAAATCCTTATAAAGAAGATTTTTTATAATATTGAAAGAATCACATGTTATGTATCATTAATTTTACCAGAAGATTCAATTATCCAGTTTAATTTATACAATTAATCAGTTAATGTATGATATTCACGTGATATTTTTTAAATTTTAATTTTAATTTTAACTAAGTTTGCAGCATCATAATTGTAACATTTCTCTTATCGTTAATAAAAATATTTATTAGATATTATCGGTTTCAATAGAAAATTTATCTGATTTTAAGCAAATTTGATTAATTCAATTATGTAATTCATTATAAATATTTTAATTAATATTGTAATGAACATATTTATAAAAGTCATATAGTTAATACCTATGAAAAAGTTTCGAATTTTTGCAATACTAAGTTGTAAAATTTTATTTAGTATTTTTTTTATCATATAAATAAATTGCATCACAAAAATTCATTAATGTTTATATTATGAATCATTATTATTAAATTAATAATTTAATTCGATTATAAAATCTAATGTGTATGATATTATTAAAACGTATATTGGCAAATATCCAATTATTCCAACTTAATTTCTTTGGCATTAACATTATACAAATATTTTTTATTTTAATAGTATATATCATAAATCTTTCGAATTAAAATTTCGATGTAAAATTTTAATAATGTCTTAATAGTATCTTTATATGAGTGTTTTTATTAATATATTCAGGCATTTATTAAATAAATAATTTATCGAATGATCCTATTATTAATACTTCTATAAAATCACCAACCAAAATAAGGCATATTAAGTTTTCTAATTAAATTATTAATATATAAATCACCTTTAATAATGTTTTCTCATGTTTTTAAAAAATATATACTTTCATCTTCAGCTAATTTATATGAACTGTTATAACTTAAAAAAGTAAAATTAATGTACTATACAACTACATTAAAGTTTTATAATTTTACTTTGAAATATGAATCAAAATGTTAAATTATCCTAAATTCAATTAGATCATACACTTTTTATATATTAATTAATTTTAATAATTTTACTTTGGAATATGAATAAAAATGGTAAATTATTCTAAATTTAATTAGATCATACACTTTTTATATATTAATTAATTTTTAATATAATTATCATTGTTTGGAATTCCAGCCACCAAAATGGTCCGAAGACTAAGGTGGATGGATTAGACCGTACACCGGTGGAGGGAGGATAAGTAAGAGGTTAATGTATCAATTCAGTGTGAACACAATTGGTTGTAGTGATTTTTATTTAAGGTTATGTTACATAGGTTGTTGTTACCGTCGTTATGAGAATTCTTGAGCTCGTCGTGAATTTACCAGTTGGCAATAAGTGTAGTGCGTCGTCCGAGTGTGCAAGGCAAGACTGGTCTGTATGTACTATTAGTAGTATGGATTCTGGAGAACATCGAATAGATTCAGCTCCCTCTTCCGCCGTCTGAAAGATCAGAATCAAGCAGTAGAAGGCTAAACGAGAATGTCAGAACAATGAAAATATCAGTCAATAGATTCGGCGCACTCTTCTGCCGTCTGGAACATCAGAATCAGGCAACAGAAAGCTAACCAATAATCTCAGCGCAATGCCGAAATATCACTGAATATATTCGGCACCCTCTTCCGCTGTCTGAAAGATCAGAATCAAGCAGCAGAAGGCTAACCGATAATGTCAGCGCAATGAAATATCATTGAATAGATTTGGCGCCTTCTTCCGCCGTCTGGAAGATCAGAATCATACAGCAGAAGGCTAACCGATAATGTTGTTGCAATTACGGAATAACAATAAATGATGATGAATAGCTTGCTGGTGGTGTCAGACTATGTCGTCGCCCTCAATGCAGTCTGACTAGAATCAAGTTTCGGAGGGCGCACCGATAGCTGGCCAGCAATAGATAATAAATAATATAAACAAGTAAGTATACCTTGCACGGATTCCTGTAGACAGACATGTAGAACTTTAACTTGGACTAATTTCACTTTGACTTACTCAACAAGACTGATTTTCTTCGTCGTTTGTTGCTCCTTATATACGATTTCGTACATTTAGAATTTGCAATTCTTGGAAATTCTGTCTAATTCTCGGAAAGCAAGCTTTGGTAGATTCGAGAATTTTCTTTTGTCACTTTGCAGATACGGTTTAATATAATTATAATTAATAATGAATTTAAATTTAATGGAATCATGTATTAAACAAAGCAATAAATTCTCAATACTGGATACTTCAATCCTGAACAATCATTGAAATGTAAGTTTATTTGTAACACATTATTTCATAACATTTTCAAACTAGTTTTAATTAAATTAATGAAAAGTACCATGTATAAAGTTTATTTTATATACTCATATGTAAAGACTGTGTTCATGCATAATTTAAGTAATTTTTTTTAGTTTTTTGGAATTAAAAATATACTGGTGTACAAAAAGTTGAATTTTGTAATGTTCTCATTAAAACGAATTTTCAACATCTATATTATCTATAATTATCGCCATAAATTTAAGAAAATAATAGAATTTATCTTATTTTCATTATTTTAGTATTTGAACTATTATTGTTTAGCAGTTGAAATTTAGATTCTATTTTCAATTATTCTAAATTTAATTTTTACTACAAAGCTGAACTTGAAACATATTAATTATTCTATCATTTAATAATGGATTAAATATAGAATGTATAAAATCTTCTCAGATATACAAAATTTTATATTATTGATTCCTTTGTACTAATTTATTCACTTATAAGTTGTAACAAATTTTCGTATTATCTAAAATTTAACATTTTGTTTAAAATCGCTGTTATGATATTTTTCATCTACATAATGAAATATTTAATTTAATTCTTTTGTTGGAATATTTATGTAAAAATATTATTTGATAAATCGTATTGTTAAATTATAAAATGATTTCAGAATTCTTACTTAAGACTAGCTCAAGCAGAGATTATTTCCATTAATTTCTTAGATCTATTGTTATTGTTTATCTATAATTCTTATTGATACGAGAACTTGGCATTCATTATGTATTTTTTACAATTTACAACTAATATTTTTTATTCTTTTTATCTAAATGTAAAATTATATAATGTGTTTTATTGCAATTTTTATCTTTGGTTAAATCATATAAATTATTGTGGTAATGTTTTTATAATGAATTTTATCAATATTAACGATGTGATAGTCCGAACATAGAAAAAATTGACCATAAACTTTAAGCGTTATAGACCAAATACAAAAAATTTCTCACTAGAAAATGATATTTTATAATTTTCTTTACTAGTTAGAATATTTTATAGAAATTCATTGAAGATTGCATTTGTAAGATAAGAGTATACCGTGAAAAGTGTGTTTCGTTCTCTTAGTTATATTAATCATTGACTATTTAGAAACTTTGTATTAATTAATTAAGAAAAATTCTTTAAAAATAAGTTTTTAATTCTATGAATAATAAATAATTCATAAAAACAAGTAATATCTATTTTCAATTAAAGAGTCAAATAATTTGATCCAATAAGATTAAATCTTTATTGCACATAAAAAGGTATTATTTCTAGTTGTCATTTACATAATTAATTGTTTACATAACTAACAAATATTTATTAATTAATTTTTTTTAATATTATTTGGAACTTTATAAATAAGAAGTAATCGATACAGTTGAGAAATATATAAATATATGTTTTTATTTAATAAGGTTATACAATTTTAAATATAAGGTTAAGTGTAATATTCTTAGATTATTTAATATTAATGAAAGAGTATACGAAGTTTGTATTTTAAGTATCTGATTGATTTACTAGGCTGTTGAGATTATTATTATTATAGATTAATTCAATTACAATTTGAAGTTTAGATTTATGAATCCTAGTTAACCATAAAAGGTTTATAAATAAATTTAAAAATCATATTCACTATAAAATTTTGTATTTTCAAAATAATATTTTTATTAATTTACAAAACGTTACATAATCTTTTAATTTTGAAAGGAGCATAAATTTGTGTGCAAGGTATAATATTCTAGAATATAATAACAATATATTTATTTAATTCATTAATGTTATCAAAAATTAAAGAAAAATAAATTTATGCTATTTAGTCGTTTAGTATACAAAATCATTTTTTATATTTTTACAAAACTTATATAATTTAAATATTACTATAGTTGAAATATTAATAACTTTAGGCTTTTTTAAAACTCTATTAGGATTGGTGTTTGTCATTTAACCTTAAATTTTATCTTATTTTTTAAAATTAATTAATAATTATTTGTAGTTGTTTCCTAATATTCTTTTGTGATACTTTTTTAAAAAGATTGTTTAATATTACTATTAGAATATAAACAATATATATTATGGACAAAATTTAAATGTTCTACAGAAATATAATTATTTGTTTTGTATTATACATGTTCACCAAATATTTTATTAAAAATTTATTGTAGGATTTTTATAAACGTAATTCTTTTTTAAATTTTTAAATTAATTACATCAAGAAAATGTATAAAAGTTTTTTATTCAATTTATTGTTTTTGTGATCAATGTATACCTACATGAAAAATCTTATTTTTATATTTTAATCATATGATGTATATTTATGTCCCTAAATTATAAAATCCTTAAATAAGATTATTGGCACTTTTCCATTGATTTTATTTTTTTTTAAGATTCATGTGCTTGCTTACAATCACAATACATATTTAAAATATTATAAAAGTGATTTTGATATATAGATACCTAAGATTTCGTAAATATTTTAATGATGATATCATGATTCATAGAATGTTGATTTTCATATAGTAAAGACCTTTTAATATTTTTCAGTACTGTTGTATATTTTTTAATGTAATAGAACATTGGAAATTCGAACTCTATCAGGTTATCTATTACTGCAAAATTTTAGTTAACAGCTCCATTTCTTACATGAACTATGAATATATTTTAGTTATTTCTTTTTCATGTTTTACCATTTTTGTTTTTAAAATACGAATAATTATTTGACAATTCAGTAAATAAACTTTATCAGTATATATTATATTAGAAAATCTTAAATATAGATTTATTGATCTAAAATATACATTTATATTTTATATTTCCAAATCCAATCATATATAATGAACACAATATTTTCATGTTTAGTCAATTAATCATTTTAAAATAATTCATATTGACTGTATGTATTTAAATCAAGTTAAATCATTCAGTTATAAGCATCCTCTTAAAATTTTATATAGTACTTTCACAATTCTTTCATATTCTTTTTTATATTCTTTGTAATTGTATTACAATCTCATATAAATTAAATAATTCTATAATTATAAAGTATCTATAATTTGTTACTAGCAGTTAAGACGATTAAAGTTAAAAAATACTGATTTAAAAAAAATCAAATTTAAAGAAATACATAATGTTAGGCAACCAAAAGATTTTTGCGAATCAACATGTGTGGAACACGAATTAATTAATAAAAAGCTTTAAAAATCTTTCGAACATATATTTGTGAAGATTAGAAAAACTTTTGTGCATTTAAAATATGATAAATTTAATAATAAACATTAATTAAGAATTTTAAATCTTATTAATTTCAGTATTTACAATGGCAGCAACAATGCCTATTAATCCAAAGCCATTTTTAAATGGATTAACTGGAAAACCAGTAATGGTGAAATTAAAATGGGGTCATGAATATAAGGGTTATTTAGTGTCAGTTGATGGATATATGAATGTGCAATTGGCAAATGCAGAAGAACATATAGATGGTAACTGTACTGGCAGTCTTGGGGAGGTTCTAATAAGATGTAATAATGTAATGTATATACGTGGTGTTGATGAAGAAGATGAAGAAGGTGAAATGAAAGATTAACCCATATTATAATTTTTTAATTAATAAATAATTAAATTATAAATTATTTAGAATGTGTTTGTTTTTTGTAGTAAAAAATAAAACCAAATAAAGAACAAGTAAACTTCCAATAAATATGTATTATAGACTCAGATGTAATTTATCAAATGTGATTATATGGTAGAAAACATATTGGAATTAATATTTGTAATATATATTTAAAGTTGTAGTATATATCTGTAATACATTTAAAATATTTAATGGTAGCACTAATATTTTTTAATTTAAAATATGTAAAGAAAAATTTAGTTGAGTTATAGAAATTTAGCAATAATGCTTAGATAATATTTACTAAAGTTTTAATTTATATATTACAAATAATGGATGTAAGCAGGTATACGCCTATCTAAATTTATTACTACATATGTATATATGTATTTATATAATTAGTTGAAATTTGTTAGGGATTCCTAAAAATAAAATAATTAATAAATCTTACAATATTTATATTAGGTTTTTTATATTTCTTCAGTATATAAGTTTCAACATGTCTGGTTAATAATAAGGAATTTTGCGAATATAAAAACTTGCGGTTACATTTCCGACCTATTGTCTTAATTTGCGTGTACCCCCTTTTCTCTTTTTCGGACTACAATAAAACATGACTCATTTAACCATAGTGAATAATTAATGAAGTTCCATTCAGTATATAAGTGAAGAAATTTGAAAAAGCAGTGAAATGAAAACGGTTAAAAGAATGTGAAGAATGGAAGAAGTATAACAATGAAAAACTACTGTTTATATGATATTGAAAACAATTTTTATTACAATAAATGGACAAACAAAACAAGTTGAAAAAATATTTTCTATAAAGAAAATAAAAAAATGATATTTTAATATACCAACATCATTTAAAAATATATTATAAGTTTTTATACTATTATAATGTTATATATATAATTATAATTTATAATGTTACACTATTATATTTTGTTTGGTAAATATTAGTGGAATGTTGATTATGTAGAATATATATTAATTGATTATATAAATTAATTGAATAAGTAATTAAAAAATTACATTGATAACAAAATTGTAAATATAGATTTGCCAATTATACGTGTGCTTGGATCATTACATTGCTGATTTTACGTGCGAGATAGGTAACCTCTGTTTAATAAGATATATAAACAGTACAAATAATTCACAGTTTATTTTGTTCATTTAATCGAATCATAGCAGATTATCTCTAGTAGATTACCGATAATATTATTAAAATTGATGAAAAATTTAATCCTTGTTTTGTGCTCATGACCTCCGCTGCTTTTCTGACTAAAGAATGTAAATAATTTAAAAAGAAAATTTTTTAAGTATAAAAATGTGATTTATGTCTGAAAATATAATCTTTTAAAATTCTATATTATTGTGAAAAAAGGTTTATCAATAGAACTTAAAGAGTACTTTGTCGTTTTATAATGTTAATAACAGATATGAGGTTCGTATTATTGATAAAATTTATTATTAATAGTTAAGCACACGGAGATGTAATTAGTTTTTATATTGTATTAATTCTTCAATAAAAATAATCATTCAAGAAATCTCATGGTATTGGTATAACCGATTTCAATTGGTTATATGTGCAACTAAATCGATTTTAGAAATAAGACTTTTCTATATCTATAAATTCTAATAATTGTCCATAAATTTTACTAATAAATAAATTGATTAAAACAATAATAAAAACTTAGTTAAGTAAAACGCGATTTCCTAATATTTAAAATTTTTTTTGAAAATATAATGTACGTTTTATATTTTATATAAATTTAATTGTAAATCAAATAATAAATTCAAGTAAATTGATATACGTATAATTCGATTTTTTAAATTTATTCTACCAAAAAGCGTATATATAAATATATTTAAATTACTTTCGTATCGTTTGTAATTTTACTTTTACCCTTTTCTGGGAAATAAAATATTTCCATAAATCAGAATTAACACATTTAGACAATGTGTTTCAGCAATATAACCAATTGTTTTTCTATAGATTATTATAAAGTAATAATCATCCAATTTACTAATATATAAATATTTTAACCTAGTATTTAAGTAGCATTTGCGAAAAAATGATTGTAAATTTATTTATTTAGGCAATTGAATTTTAACAGTAATTAATGCATCTTCAAATTTCATTTTAGATTAATAAATATTAACATGCCTAGTTCAACAACTATAATAGTTGAAATATATTAACATCTAATACTTCATTGAAAATATATAATAAAATCATAGTTAGTGTTGATTCTTGCAAGTGAATAAAAATGTAATATAAAGTAATTGTAAATATACAAGATTAAGATAGAGGTCAGTCTTGAGAATAAACCTGCATTTAATTATGTTTGAAACTTGTGTTTGCATTATTGATGGATTTAAAATTTGAATTTTTATCAGTCATGAACATTTTTTATATAAAAATGAAAATAAAAATAAAATAATTTTGAAACATTTAAGAATATTAACATTAATATTTGCGCGATGTATGACGCCATAAATGGATGTAAAAATTACTAAGCTGATAGAAAAATTGAAGCAAAAAACTACAACAAATTTTGTAGTTTAACTACAACAAATTACAACGAGTTTTATAAAAACAGATATTTATTAAAAGAAAAGACTTTAAATATAAAGGATATCTTTTACATCACAAGTTCGAATTATTTAAACAGCTTTAAAACTATACTATCTGTCTGAGATCAGACTAAAACGCTTCCCTGAGATGAATAAGGGAGGTTTGCTGGCACGTGGAATGGACAATGCAATAATTCAATACTGCCTTTGTATGAGTTCGTTTTCCTTTTATTGAATGTAATGATATAATAAATAATCAGTGGTTTATTAAGGTGAGATTGAATGAATGATACAATTAATGAGTGAGAGTTTCTTCAGGTAATGTGAGTGATGATAATCTTATAAATGTATTCTTGTGTGTGGTGCGTGATTCACGCCTCCGATTGTCGCTACCGATGAGCTGGAGAGGCTTGAGTGGGGCGCTCGTGTATGACGTCACTGATGAATGGCAATGATGCCGTGGTTTGGGTATTGCTGCTTACTGAGTTCACGGATCCGTGTGTTAGTGATTCGTAAGAACGTGTATAATAGCGTAGTTTACGTGTGTGAAATCGATCTCAGTTGTATTGATAGTACGTAAGGACGTGTGTAATAGCGTAGCTTACGTGTGTGGAGATAGATCGTTGTGTATTGGATGTGACCTCTATATAAGTGGTGTTTGACTTGTAAGACGGCGATTTGTGTGAATTGAAGGCGATCTCTGTGTAAATGGCGTTAACTTGTAGAACAATTATTTGATCTTGATGATTGCTTGATTGAATTAGTAAGAGGAGATTTTCTCGTATAAACTAGTTGCGTCGATAGTGCACCGGTGGCCGTTGCTATGCCGATATTTGTAGTGACGGCAACAGGGCATAGACTCGTAGATTTCATTTATTATTACTTTTGGAATTATAGTAGTATATTCGAGTTTTTTCTGTTATAAGCATTTTTTGAGTCCGTTAGTCATTTTTTACAAAACAAATGCTCGCGCGCTCATACCTCTCCCACTTTTTATTCCGCTTAAAAACTACTGCAATCCACAACACTATCTATAAATCGGGCTAAATTTATGGCAATCAACAAACTTTAATTAATTATATTTAAAATATAACAAAAATATAATTTCAGATATTTAGAACTTACAAAGTACAAGATAAACCAATAAATTAATATGATTAATGTGACTTTGAATTATCATGAATACTTGTCTATTAATAGAAATCAGAATTAAAAGAAGTATGTTTTAAATGAAAAATTAAATTTTAGATCAATTAAATAAAATTATACTTTATACATTTCAATAAACAAAATACACATATATATTTATGTAATTGAAGCTTTAACAAAATATTTTATTTTAGTAAAAATTTGTTTGAATAATAATTATTATTCAATTAATTTTAATTCAATTCATATTAATGCTTTGTAGCATCAATTTTACACTCATAAAAATACTTCTAAGAAACTATAAAATTAACTTCATAGTCTATATTATTATCTTTAAATGGTAACAAAATAAATAAATAAATGCAATATTGTTTTCACGATTATTTATTTAGATCCAGAGTTTTCAGTATCTGCAGCAATTTATTACATTAAAATTAATACAATAGTTTTTTTATTTACATTATCATTTAAAACATATATAAATACAGACGATTTAATAGAAAAAATTTAAATCAATAAAATTATATGTTCATTTAAAATACTTTCTAATTTTTATTATGCACTTATAATTAAATTAAATAAAAAGCTTTAAGTACCGAATGCCATTATTCTAAATGTTTTAATATTAAATAATCTTTAAAATACAAATCAATTTATATAGACAATACATTTTATTAATATTTAATAATTAACTATCAGCATAAAGCATAAAATGTAAATTTATAATTAAAAACTTTTATACATTTGTTAAATAATTCTTGATATGGATATTCTATAAAATGTTTTTTTACATTCGGATTTAACTTTATTATCTTATGTATTAAAGTTATTAAATGTTTACAAAAAAAATTGAAAATGATATTGAAAATGCATCCTAAGGCATGTAATGATTTTTTCAATATCTTTCAACACTTTGCTTAAGTATTATTGTAAATTGTATGTTCATTTGGATGAAGATCTAAAGATATATGAGGGAGAGTATTTAGGTTATACGTTTGTGTTTGTGTGACAATAGCAGATTTTTTTATTTTAAAATTTTCATTGCATTCTATAGATTGTTTGTCTTCGCTATTTGATTCGATTAAACCTTGAGGATCCGATAAATCATCTTCTTCTGGTCCGAGATTTCGAAATCTAACGAAACCGTCTTCGGCTACTAACATTGTGGATCCAGAAGTGGAATTTTCATTAATTTTGTGTAAATTATCAGATTTACAAAGTGTCTGCATTTCAGTTCTACATTGACCAAAAGAACTATGCATTTCTTGAGGAAAATGTGTTATGGTTCCAGATTTTCTACTAGAACGCCTTTCAAATGTATTACTTGTATTAAGGTGCTCTGTTAGAGTATTTAGGGGAAAACTATCATCATAAACTTGTTTGCCAGTACGTATCGTATAATTCTGAATGGCTTGATTAGTACTACATATGGCTGGATACATAGAGTCATCCATATTTTCTGTTGACGTAGAACTACCGCAAGGAAAAAGAGCAAATCCTGTATGTATAGCATGTTGTTGTATTTGCTTTTCTCGAAATTGAAATTGTGATAAACTTGCAACCCAAGCTAGTAAACCACACATTAATAATTCAATAAGTCGAACGGAAAATTCCCAACCCCAACATCGCCAAGAATATCGTTGCAAACGTTCCTGCACACCAAAAATATCATATAATTGTATAAATCCCATTAGTATAAAAAGCAAAGCGGTAGCAATTGTTGTTGTAATTGCAGTATTTAAAGTTGGCGTTGTAAAATCATTTCCTATATGACTATTAATAGACTTTGTGTTAGTGATAAGCAACTGAGATCTTATCACACGATAAACGTACATATAGGATAATCCTAAAATTACACAAATAATTATGTATATACACTGACAAATTAAAGGTAGAATTCTCGATTCATCTGTATAACCAAGCAAATGCCCAAATACATGGAGAGAAACACATAAAGTTATATGCATAAAAAAAGCAATTGCAAGAATTAATGGAGATGAAAATTTATTTCTGTATAAAGATGGAATTGCTGAACAACGAGACATATAGAGTATTAATGTTGCAAATGCTGCAGCAAGCAATGAAAATGGTAAAAATTCGAGAACTTCTGAAAGCGTCTTTGGAAGAGAATGATTAAAATTATATGCATCATAAAATAAATAAAAACATCTTAAAGTGCATATCATTGTTAACAATAAATGAATAGATAAGAAATATGATTGTGTTAAAAGATTGGTTGCATCATCAAATCGAACTATTTTATAAACAGAATATAAAGCTACTAAAGTAAACATTGTAGCTGTCAAATATGCATGTAACGACCATGCAATTTTTAACGCTGATTTAAAAGGATAGTCGTCCGAATGAGTTAATATATTCTGAATCTTACTATTAAAATTAGGCGTTTTTGATGTTATCGGTGGAGGTTGGGGCTGTGGATAAGAAAGGCTTTCACCGTTGATGACATCATTATTGCGAACAATATATCGTTCATCGTTCTTATTAAAATTTTTATAGTTATTGTTATCATCATCTTTATTATCTTTTTTCGTATTTGACAAAGTTATAATTGAAGAATATGTTGAAGTCTGATATATATTATCAGTTGATTTTATTATTAACATAGTAGTAGATGATTTTTCAGTTATTGATTTTGTAACCATGTAATTTGAGGATGATTTTGTTGAAATTGGTTTTAATAGAATTTCTGGAATATCTTGCTTTCGACCATTACTACCTGATAATATCCTTGAAATACTAGTAAATTGCAGAGATGGTATAAAATCTGTAGTATCATTAGAATCTTTTTGTTTATCTGATATTTCAAACGAATTTTTAATTAAAGCATCGTGTTCTCTTTTTTTTTCCAAAGTAAGCCTCTCAGTATTTTGAGTAGTATTCTCAATTAGGTCTGGAGGTTTTATAGGTATCCTTTCATGTATAGGAGTAAGACTTGGTGGCGGTATAGGTCGTCTAGAATTCGAATGTATATCTAAGTTAGTTCCTCTAAGTGTTGGTTTATCAGCAAATGGATTAGCATATTCAGGGGGTAACGGCGGCGTAAATAAAGCTCTTGAAGGAGGCGCATACGAAGGTAATTCACGAAACAATGGAGAATTAGTTGCTCTTGGTATTAGCATAGGAAGTATCATAACAGAAGTTGCACGTAACGTAATTGTTGGCGATGGAGAAGTTGAATGTATTGAACTTCGTGATACTTGAGCTTCAAATGCAGGTACACTTCGTTTCGTCGTTCCAGAACTTTGAGCAACTTTGTTGAATATTGCTGCAATATTTTTTTCTAACGTTGTATAATCCAAGTTAAAAGTTGGATTATTTGTTTCTGTTTCGCTTGCACTAAGTGCGAGTTCATTTCTCAATAAAAAGCACAATATTTGTAATACTAACATGTGCATAATTGAATACATTGATATTTAATAACAGCTGCAATATAAGCTGTAAAAATCACGAAACGAACAATCGAATATTATAAATATTTTTATAAGAAATTTTACCAATGAACATCGTGATTGTGCAACCTGTGACTGAGAAAGTAAAATGCTATACAAAAATTCATTTTATCAATTAATATTTACTTATATACAAAAACTATCATGATCATTATTAAGAATAGCTTACTATTGTTAGCTTTTGTATATATCAATTGATTAAAAATTCATTTTGAAAAATTCAATTCCTTGTCTGAAGAATCATAGTTTTTTCACTGTCAGTAAATTTTCTATTTTCTATTTATAATCGAATTTCATTTTAATCGAAATTTGAAATAAATATTTTGATATATTACACTATATTTACTTATATAATGAAATAGAAACAAATATATAATTAATTCATTTTTATAACTAGTTTGATCGAAGTATTTGTAAAATTCAAAGGGAATATCTATACTTAATATTTGGCGGGCACATTCCGCCAATATAGTAATGTCAGTCCATCTGAATCATCTAAAACAAAAATTTATATTTATATAAAATAATATTAATTTATATAAAATGGAAGTCTGAATATTACAAGTTATATTATCATCAATATTTTTTTAATTAAAGGCTAATAAAAAATTTCTAATTTAACAAAATAAAAATAGAATTAATTTTTTTTATATGTATTAATACTCAAATTTATTTGTTAGATTAGTTTTATTAACAATGAAACCTTAAACTTGTAGTAATCCATATGTAAATATCTTTGTTATATGTTTACATATAATTAAGGTAATGTAAGCAACAGACTGATTAATTTTTTAATCAATTAATATACTTTGACATAACATAATTATAATTTTCATGGAATAAAATAATGAAAATTATATTACATATAAAATTTAAATATATTATCTTATTAATTCTACGTAAGTATATATGTATTCTAAAAGCAGCTCAAAAATTTTAAAAACGTTTTATGGATTAAGTATTATTAAATTAACATTTATTTATCCCTTTTATTAATTAGATAATTTCATTATTTTATTTATTTGAATTACAAGTGCAGATATTCTTCTCTATGAATATTAACATTATCTTTTATTAGTCTTAAAATAAACATTAAATGAAAATAATAGTAGCTACTAAAAACTGTATACTAAAATTTAGGAATATACCGTAATTCATTTTTTTATTTTATACATATTGAAATAAATTTATAAAATTCTTTGGCTTTCAACACAACACTTAGTACATTTACATTCAATTTAATTTATTCATATCTTTATTTATTTTTATTTATTTAGTTTAATAATTGCTTAACATCTGTTAAAAGAAATTTACTCAACAAAAGTAGTAAGACTAAATTTGTTTTTGTAAAATAATTTTTAATAGATTTATAACTTTCTTAATCACAGTATTTAAAAATTTTAAAAAGTTTTCATTCATTATTGAAAAGTTCATATACGAAAACAGGTATTGAGAAACAATAAAAAATTTTTTGATCAATTGGTATCCGAATTATAATTGAATACCAATTAATTATAATAAAAAAAAGCATGAAAGTATAAGTAGTAGATACTAAAATTATATAGTATATAATATACAGTATAAATATATAGAAATATATATAAATAAGGAACAATTAATTATTTAACAAAATTTTATTTAAGCTAACAACCAAAAATGACGTCAGACAATAATTATGAATATTTTTAATACAATAAATATTTTAACAGCGTTAACAGATTTAAATAAATTTTAATTATATTTTTTTTATTTAAATACTTTATTTAAAAACATTAATTGAAAAACAATTATATTTCACTTTTGTGCTATAATTATTAAATAAAAAATTTAAAATAACTTAATAAATATGTACTTATACTTATAATTATAATGTAACCTCTAAAACAATTATTTTTTATCGAAGTTATATTTTATATAAATTTTTTGACCAATTTATAACTAATTTTAAATTAGAAAAGACAAGAAAATTTTTTAAATATAAATATATTAATTTAAATGAAAATATACTAATCACTTTAAAATATATTTACAAAAAAAAATATCTAAAATATATGATTTTATAGTTATGTATTATTTAATAGTTATAGTTATATATATATAATACATTTTTTAGAAATATTTTAAAATTTTACATTAGAAAATTTAATATAGATAAATCAAATATTATAACAAATACAATACAACTAATGTGTAACAAATAAGTTTAATAAAAGTAAAAAAGTTTAACCAATTGTATTAAAAATATTACTTCAATATTTAAAACCAAAAAAATATGTCGAAAATAGTAATTACTTTATATAATGATCAAATGTAATATATGTTCAAACAAAAAGTACAATTAAACTGAAGAAAGTGAAACCACTCATCACAGTTTAATGTTGAAAAAACCTGGAAAGTAAAAATTTAAATATAAATAATAAATACGAAAAAGATAAATAATATAAAAATAATAGGTTTTGAATATTTTTATATAATAAAGTGAACATATTGTATCTGAAATAAAATAGCAAATTTTTGTTTCACAAATAAAAGAAAATATTAAACAGATTTTAAACATAATTTAATCGTGTAAAAACTATCATACATGAACATTATTTTAGACATTTATTTTCTTTTACAATAATTTACATTGAGTACTATATAATAAATACTTACTTCAATTAAATTATGGTAATTTAATCCAACAACCTAATTCGAAGGTAAGAATTGAACAAATATTTGACAAAGAACAACTCAAAGTAATTTAGTAAGCACACTTAAAAATGGCTGCTCCATAAGATTTGAACATATTTTTATTTCATGAAATAGTTTCAGTCATTTCTAATTATTGCCATCAACTCTTAAATATTACTTTTTTCGATCTATAATATTCACATATTAATAGTTCTTTTCATATTTAATATATAGTATAAAATAAAATTGCTTTCTATTTATATTAAATTCAGACTGCCATTACATTCATCACTTTCGCGACAGACGAATGTTTGTACACATTCTATAAATTCGTTTAACCTTGCATTTAAATAAAAAAAACTTTATCCACAGACTTAATGAATACATTAGATTTATTCTTAACAACGTATTAACGTTTAGAACGCTTAGATTAATAATTCATGTCATTAAATCGCACTATTCAACTCAATCAGATTCGTGTGAAGATAGAATACAATATATGTGTATATATACACAAACACATGCATGGAAATATATAAAGCACTGTGAACGTTCCACCATTTTGGAACTAAATTTTATTTAGTTTTTTTGTAAGGGTATGCTACAGTAAATTATGTCTACGAGATATACAAATAAATTAAATTGTTAGAATGCATTATATTTCAAAAATAAATATAATTATAATTTTTTCCAATTTTTCAAAGATAAATATATTCAAATATATTGAAATTTTTATAAAATTATATATATTAAAAAGTAACACTATTCAAACATAACAATTTAAGATTTAGCTTAAAGATAATAAGTCAAATAATGTTTTAGATAAATCATCTTATGTAAATTACGGAAAGAAGAACATTAGACATAAAATACAATTTTACTGAGCATGCGTATTACTAAACCATCAACCGAAGTGGAATACTGAAAGATTGAAATACCGTGGATTTATTTTTTCTTAAAAAATTTCTTTACCAATAAATCTTTATTTTAATTTTAACATGTAAATAATATAATACTTATACTATCGCCAACATATTTGTTTTTGTAATTTTTTATTTTTAAATCGTAACACAACATATTTTCTTATAACCTAGAATGAAAGATATATTTATTTTACTAAAAATAATCTAATAGTTAAAAAAATTGTAAAATATTGTTTTTTTAAATATAATAAGTTGTTATATACTGTAATAATTTAGGGGAAAAATAATTAAACATTTTGTAATTTTTCAATACTATATTTTTTAAACTTAATATTTTTATTTTTATTATTTCAATTTATTCAATTCAAACTTATTATTTCAATGATTTCATTTAAATATCAAATAAATATAATCAGTAAGCAACCTTTTTATATTTTCTTTCGATATTAATAATTCTGTTTTAAAATAGTGTCCCCTAATTATCAATCGATCACAATTAAACTTCGATATTCATTAACCATTTCTATCATTATAATTACTACTCCGGTACTTTTTTATATAATTACCCTAGTAATTGATCGAAATTGTGCAAGTAGGCAATTTATTAGTGCATAAATTTTGCAATGTTAATTTTAATACTTCATTAAATGTTTATCGTCTTTCTTTAAATTCAAATGACAGTAGTTAAATTAAATTTTATCTCTAAAAATCATTTAATAACAGTATTATTTTTAATGCCATAGTACATATATTTCTTTTTCAAATTATTATTTCTATATAACAAATTAATATTACATTTATCAATCCAAATCAGTATTTTGATGTCACGTAATCACTTCATGCATAATAAAAATAATAATTCATTGCTATTTATATAAGGAACCGAATGATTATCTTTTACTTGTGAAATTACTAACGAATTTAGACAATTGTAAAGAAAGTTACAGCGAAATATAATTTGTATATCTATATTTTTTGCTACTAGATAGGTAACTTACTATTCAAGATTGCGTATTTCTTATTCATTTTTCATTTCATTATAAATATGTGATTTCTTCTATCTAAAAGTATATTTTATTTAAATTTATAATATTTATAATATTAATATTAATAGTGATATCTGAAAGATACAAATCTAGAATACTAATTTATCTCTTGAGATGAGTTTTTAAATTTAAACTAAATTGTCGTACATTTGAATGAGTCGTCATTCAAAATAGCAGCAGGATCATGAAACTGTATAGGTTATATATATGCTTATAAGGAAAAGATAACTACGATCACTGAAAAGATATTTTAATATGTGTATAAAACATATTATAGAACGCTGAAATATTTTGAAATAAGGTTTATGATTAATAGAGGGAAAGTATGAAAAAATCTTATAAAAGAGGGAATTTTTATCTATTTGAGTCTGAT